GCCCACTGCTGCTTGGTGGGGCGGATGGTGGGAGCGTCTAATCCGCACAGCCAAGAATTTGATTGTGAGAGTCTTAGGACAAGCTGCAGTCAATTACGAAGAGTTACTCACCGTCATCTGTGATGTGGAAGCCGTAATAAACTGTCGACCACTAACTTATGTGTCAAATGACTCTGAGGATCTTCTACCATTAACGCCTTCCATGTTCTTACAGGACATTAAGGTTTCAGGTACAGCAGATTTGGATGCTTTAGATCGAAATAAACTCTTGGCTCGTCAGCGTTTCTGCCAGGAACTTCGAGAACAATTTCGTAGCCGTTTCCGCAAGGAGTACCTTGGACAGTTAGTACAAAAGCATGGACAGACGGACTGTGAATTAAAAGTTGGAGACATCGTGCTAATAGGTTGTGAGAACCTTAAAAGAGTGAACTGGCCAATTGCTCGTGTCCAAGAACTTTGTACAAGCAGAGATGGACGTGTAAGAGTTGTAAAAGTGAAAACTAGAAATGGCATACTGATTCGTCCTGTACGTAAACTGTACCCTCTAGAAGTGTGTTCCTGTACTAAGGATACCATTATTTGATTTTTGATTTTCCTTCTGAAAATCAAAAAGGTGGGAGTGTTGTGAAACTGATTAGCTGTATCTAACAAATATTAAAAACAAATCTCTTCATTTTGATGTACGAGACACAGATGGCGTTGGCTGTCATTGAAGTAGGAAGAAAAAAAGGGTTTTTCCCCTTTCGACCTCGTGACGTGAACTGATTAAGTGTGTAATAACTTTCGGGGCCAGAAAAATTTCCCGACAATTGTTAAAAAATGTATATATTTTGTAGTATAGAGAGAATATAATTAGATAAATCAACATATTAGAGTTTTTATTACAGATTCAACATCACACTACCCAGGTAAGTGAGCAAGTTTTGTCTTTAGTTTTTCTGGATTGCTCGGTATCTGGGATGAGTGAAGGAAGTATTTTTATTTTAATGATATTTAATGATAAGACTATGTTTTAGTAATAACAACTATTTAAAATTCTAAAATGGCCTAATCATACAAGATAAGTCAACTGTAAGAAGGAAAGAACTTATATTCTAATAGTTTTAATAAGTCTTAATTAAATTGAAGTACATCATTCATTATATACATTCTGGATTTTCTAAAAAAAATTTCAGGAATTTCTTCCATAAAATCTTCACTCCCCTCTAAACAAAGTTGTTCAAACTTTTCATATGAAGGACCATTTAAAAATTTTGCAAGCCCACATATTTTAAAATAATGCAATAGAACAAAAAAAAAAAAAAAAAAAAAAAAGCATTAGTAATATAGTTGCATAAGATTAAACATTTCAAATTTAGATATTCATATATCACCTACTTCTCAAAACAAATATAATAAAAGAAAGAATATTAGTCTTGTAGGATAAAAATAAAACATTACAAATTTGCAAAGTAGTACTAATGTAATATGAAATTATTTACATACCACAGTAATTTATTTTTAATTCTCAAGTTAAAGCTCAGTTTTAAATGAATGCCTACTTATTTATTTTTTCTCCCTTTACAAGTAGTGATTTTTTTTAAACAAGTTGCAAGTAATCAACAATTAATGTGAGATATTCATCTGTAACCTGTCATACGAAATATTAATTTTATTATTACATTTTCCATCCCTGGAAGAATTGCAGCAATGATCGGTGTCAAATAGTGAAATAATTTATACTGAAATATCCCAATAAAAATCTAAACGAATAATTTTTTTACAATGCATTGAGAAGTTATGATTTACAAAAATTTTCTTCACACCATAGTCCTTTTTGACCTCAATTAACATGTTGAGTGCCACGTCAGCCATCTGTGGCTGACACTAGACTTTCCGTTTAGGCTGCGTCAGCCATCTGTGGCTGACACTAGATTTTCCGTTTAGGCCACGTTGACAGCTGCTGGCTGACAGCATGTAACATGATATATAACTATAAAATTTACTCTATTTTATGGAAGTACAGAAAATTTATTTAAAATTTACTTAATTTTGATTCATTACAGGACTAATGGATTTCATTGAAACACGGTAAATATAAAAACGGTTCTCCATTACAGCTATTACAAAATGTGACAGCTCTCTTAGTCTTTTTCTCTGCCCATTACCAGCTTCTGTTGCATTATCATAACATAATTTACAATATTTCCGTACTTCAGAGGCTTTTCCCGGTATTCTTTGGAGTTTATGTTGTCGTTTTTTTAGATATTCTTGCATTTCTGTTCGATGGAATGTTTTCTTTTTCACAACTTGTAAGGGATAGTGCTAATTCTTTCCGGAATTCAGTAATGCTAATTTTCTGCTTCGTAATATCTTTGTATAAAGTGTAACTATTTACAAAACAGACTTGGCGCGTAATGCGTTGAATAAATGCCTATAGGAATCTCGTCCTGAATATAAACTATTTTCTGCTGCGATAAGAATCACCAGCCCTACAATACCAGCGCTTTTAAGCAGCGTGTGTGGCCTGAACGGGATTGCCCAAGAAATACTTGTGGTGCTCAACATGTTAATTTTATCTGTGACATATCAAGAGATCAATGATATGAAGTGCTCTGAAATCCCAAAATCATTTTTCAAAACACAGTATCAAGGTTTTGAATAACTCTGAAATACTGTACAGGACTCATGAAAAAGTCAGCATTGCTAGTAGGGTATGGGAATAAAGCAGATAACAATCAGTCCTTTCTGAAGCATTTTTAACTCTCCCTTGAAAGGTTGGACATGTTCATATAGTTTTAAGCTGATATTTAACCTGAAATTTCACATTTGTATCTGCAAGGTTCTTAATAATATCTATTAGAAATGCCAAGTCATTGAACTACATTTCTATTCAATCAACTATTATTATTTCAAATCATTCAATTTGCCAACTATATGCCAAATCATTCAACTATTATTTCTTCAAGTAGATTATAACTTACTATGTTCTTTTTGAGTTAAAACAAGTTACCTAGAAAGAGTTGAAGTACATTTTATTATTCATTGAGTAATCCTGCAACAAAAACTGAGCCCATTAGTTCTTAGAAAAGTTATTAGAGAGAAAAACTTTTACATTACTTGCTGCATAAGATTTTTCATGCAGTTACTTTTGGTGATAGTAGATTATGAGATAGGATTTGACATCATCATTAACCATTGAACTCAACATTAGATTTTCAAATCTATTTTATTTATCTGCAGTTCCTTGGCTTCATCTGTGGTAATATCGTACAGGTTTTTCTATAGAACTTCAAAACTGATCTCAAAATATGAGGAATTTAAGAACGTGCTTTTATGCAGATGTGACTAATTTCTCCTATATTTAATGTTGTGCTGATTTTTTTATGTATATGTTTTATATTTGTGCAGTTTCTTAACCACATAATTTACAATGCTCTTTATCAAATTATCTGTTCTAGCAAATATAGGATGTTTCTCCCTCCTTGATTATTTAATCAACAGATATAGCATGACCAAGCAATATTTCATAAAGCCACTAGGCAGTAAGTATGTCCTTTGATTATTTCTTTCATTAATAAATCTGTTAAATAAGTGACCTTAGTAAGAACTTATTTGGCTTCAACATTAATATTTAAAGAGTTTTATAACTTACTTTAAAATATTTAACGTGTTGTTTCAAAGTAACACTCACTTTTAGACAGTCAATGTTATCAGTTCTATTCTACATGAAACAAATAGTTTTATAAAAATTGCTGGCAAATATACCTAAATCTTTTTATAATGTATTCTTTTTAGCAATGTTTTACTTCCATATCAAATATAATGCATTCTCTTACGCTCAATACTAAAATGTCATTGTTCAATAAACTTTGCATTCAGAATCAATTTTTCTCCATTCTTCACACAATATATTTTACCAAAAACATAAGAATACCTAAAATGAATTATATCTCATGTTTAATTAATATTAGTACTTTGTTAAGAAAAGCTTCCTATTGAAAAATATTGATTTTTAATTTTAAAAAAATGAGCATCCAATTTTAACTTTCAACTTCTTATGGAATAGGTATGTGTATAGATACCCCTTCTACAAGGCTACAGAAAATAATGCTACAGTGAATGTGAGGTTCTTAGAACCTATGTTTTCTTCCAGATAATGGTTTAATTTTTCTATTAAGTACATATTACATTTCATGCATCAGTTAAACTTAATCCTTAAATGCATGAATATTTATTTTTATTTTCAGTCAAAAATATATTAGAATTGATAACAAATAAGAATAGGGAAAATACTAAAAAAAATCTAAACTAAGTTTTTATTCCAATTTTGAAAAAATGTTATTAACTTTTACAAAAAAAACATATGGTAGTCAAATATGTAACAACAATTTTATGTAATAATACATACCTTATAAACTTGTTCAAACAATTTTAAAACTTCAAATACATCAAAATAACAACAAACACAAAATCAAACATTTGTAAACACAAACGATGTTCACATTCTACACATCAACTCACAATAATGACTATTACACTGTTAGTGGTGCCACCACACTGAAACTTTCAAAACTGTATATGTTAACAGTATGTATCCAATTGGTTACACTCTGCAGTAAGCTAAAAAATTTGTGTTTTGATTTGATTTGCATGACTAAATATGAGTATGATGCCAAATGGCAACTACATTTAATGGTTAATGTTTAAATATTTAAAGCTAATGGAGACAAAGCTCAAATGTTTGCATCTAGAGACCTTACTCGTGAGACTGCTGCTGCGACTTCTTTTCTTTCCCACTTCTGATGGTTGTATTTTTTCACAAATTTTATTTTTTAAATTACAGAAAAATGCTTTTAAATTCTAAAATGTACCTGATGGGCTAAATGAATGATTTTGTGTGCCAGAACTGTAGCCTGCAAGCCATATGTTGACAATCCTGGTCTAGAATTCTGTATCAGTTATACACAAAATAAAATATCAGTCAGATTTTGATAAAATGAAAATTACTTGTTCATTACCTGAAATGCAAGCTTCTGGACTCAATGCTCCAGGTCTTAAAGTTCGGTGGTTTGCAGCGCATTCCATGCAAGATGTCTGGCCTTCCAATGGCTGGAAATAGTTAGTTGGACAAGGAGCACATGGTTCCAGACCAGTTTCAGAATAAGTTCCTGGTGGACATTGTGCTGGGAAGGGGTAAAAAATATTTACTGATAGAAAACATTAAATCAGACAGGAAAAAAGTACCTATGGCAATTTATGATCTGATATAATTTCATTACAACTGTATGTATTAATTATAAGTTTTGCTTATATATATGTAATATAAAATATGCAGTAATTAATATATATATATATATATTATATATTCATGTAATTAAAATATATTTTACTTTGCTTCACATGTTAAAAAGGTCTCCAAAAAGGAATTACTTCATTTACAAACTGAATTAATTAATTTTCTATTTAACAGCTAAAAAATAAGGGAATGATTATATTCTTTTAAATGATGAAACAAACACATAACAACAAAAGATTCCTTTATAAATATTGCTGAAATTCAAATTCTGTCTGAAGCAAGTGAATAAAATTAAAATTTTTAATAAAAAAATTACTTTCACATTTTGGATAAAATATATTTTTACACAATATCTGACGGATCAGAAAGAAATAAGAGTGTGCTATTTTGTAGCAAGCACAGCAGTCAAATGAATTTTTAAACACACTTATACAACATTTAGTAGTAGTCTTGCTTCATAGCAACAGTTTTTAACATCAAGTTCAGTGGAAAGAAAGGAAGGAATTTTAACTATCAAACAATCAGAATTTGTTAATATATAAAATAGTATGCTAATGTTCCCACTAATATTTTTTCCCTTTTTAAAAAAGAATATTTGAATATTTTCACTCAGTTCATGAAATCAAAAACTTTGTTGGCACCTATTTTAAGAAAAAAAAAAAAAAAAGAGGTTAGAGTTCTTTAAAACAAAATATAACTCTTCTTTACCAGTAACAAAAATTAATCTACTGCTTGTTTTCTGAACATAAGCCAACCCATGTATATGCTAAAAGTGTGCTTTAATCTTTCAAAATTTACCAAAAATTCAAAACCGTATATACGCCAAAAAGGGGAAAAAAATAATAATCCTGTAACATTCAAACATGTCAAAATGAGGGTAAAAACATTGCTCAGCATGTAAAAGGGATAAAAAATTATCAAATCGCATTGCTATAAAGTAAAACATCAAATGACAGTGATGATATTTTGACTCTGGTACCCTACCTGAAGCTAGCACATTTTCCCATTTATTTGTTGACTTGTATACAATCTGTGGTATCCATGCCAGTCTTATTTATTTATTTATTTATTTTTTTGTACCATTTTATTTTTGTCTGAAGGATGAGTGAGAAAAGAAATTCTTATATGGCAAATTCCGAACTACAGATGATCACATCTGCTGAAAATTTTAATAACAGAATGGCTGTGTGATATTTCTACGAACTAAAAACAAGTTCAAAAGTGGAGGAAAAAATACTTTGAATTGGTGGAGATAGCAAAATCCAAAAAGACCCCGTGTGGTCATTTTCAGTTAGCCAATTCACAAACTCCAGATTTTGCATTTTCACGAAGATGCAACAAACCAGCAATGTAAACAATTTCAAAAATAATGCAGCTCACTTTCACAAAATGAATAATTCATTTAAAATTAATTTTTGTTTTCAATAACTTAAGAAATATACACTGACAAAACAAAAAAGTGCTATATTTGGTGATTTATCACTTGTGACCAGCTTGTGATTTATCGCTTGTGACCGGTAAAAATATAGGTAAAGTACCTATATTTTTTTGAGCTATGCAGATCCATAAATAAGCTGAACCCCCTTAATTTAGTTTCAGAGAAATTCCAAAAAGTTCTTGGCTTATATGCAAAATATATGGTATTCAAGTGTGCAGACATACAATCATAATATGATATGATAGATGCTCAGAGATAAATAATGCATTATAAAAATTTATTACTTTTCTTTCTCTTAAAGATGGAAATTATAATTATTAATTAAATTTGGCATAAATTCTAATTCAGCGAATGAAGAAGTATTTTGAATAAATTGATTATACTTTACAAAAACTGTTAATGTTCAGTAATGGAAGGTTAATTATAATTTCTCATTTTTAGGCACAGGAATTTTTACTTTAAAGCTTAAGGCTTTTTTGTAATTTAAGAACAGAAAATAGTACTCAAATGAATGTTAAAAAAATTACTCAGAATTTAATTTTGGTATTTAAACTTTCCAGATTAAAATACTTTTTTTTATACAGATAAACAGTAGAATAACGTGAAAACCGAGATGGTAGAATATATATACAACTTTCTAATTAATGGAAATTAACAACAACAAGAGATCAGTTCTAATGAGAAAAATGCCATTTATTATTGTGAACAGATTTAAAAAAATCAACAGTAATTTTAAAAAAAGAAGCGGATCTCATCATTAGGAATTTTTCTATAATTCAGTTATTTACAGAACATAAAGAATGAATACTGAATACACACACAACAAATACCAATATACCATATATAGAGAGAGAGAGAGACAAAAGTACAGTGCTAAAATTTGTTATATATTTTTAATATACTGCATTCTTAAAATTACTCTTTTCCTGACATTGCACCTTATACCAAAATAAATACACACATAGATGAAAGAGTATTAAATAATGAAAGTGAAAATGCAAATTGAATTAAAAGGCAAATACAATTCATGTTTGATAAGATACATGTTTGATTGGTAAAAATTTCAGATGTCTTGTATTTCCGATTTTTTCATGAAAATTTATTACACAATTTTAAATATTATTTAAAAGTTAAATTAATATTTAAAAGTTATTGTTTGCATGGAGCGAGATAAAAGCATACCTCTGCAGTCATCAAGAAGCTTAGAGCCAGGGACATATGTAACTGTATTAGCAGGACATCTTTGGCATTCTTTGAAACCATCTCTTGGGGGTAAGGAACTGAAAGTATTACTTGGACACTGCAAACAAGGAACTAGACCAGTTGGAGAGTATGTCCCATAACCACAAACAGCTGCAAAAATTTATGTTTAGATCAAATTTACTTAAAAAATATTGAGTCTAAAATAAGTAAAATGCATTAAATGATTTTTTTTAAAAAAAGCAGATTAATAAAAACACTACTATCAGAATTTTGTAATTTAAATTTTGAAATGAAAAGAAATAGTTAAATTAGAAATGTATTTAATGTTTAGAAAATGTAATTTAAATTCTTGATAATTTATATAACTACAAACTAAGCAATACGTTAAAAAAAATATTTAGTGATTTCTTTCACATAAATGCTGTACAATATAAATACTGTACAGCAGTTATGTAGACTCTTGAATACTTAGAAAAAATAATTCCTTTATAAATGATTACACAAACATGTTTTCATAATGATACACATTCAATAAATAAATCAAAATATTCATGCACACCCATCATCAGTAATCTATAAAATAAAATCCATAATTATCATTAAAAGAATCCACTTCAGCTGATCGCTGTGTGTCAGCAATTTATTTCAGCTAAACAATAGCAACATTATGCACTTTTCTTGCTTGGCTGGCAATGGTGTTATAGCAGAAATTTTTCCCAAATGTTATCCCAATAACAAAACATATTGTTAGAACATTAAATCTTTTACAATCCACATAAATTAATTCTATTTTAATGTAATTATATATTTATCTCTAATTTTAATATTATTATACATTTATTTTTATTATTAATGTAGAAAATATTATTAAAATTGGAATAATGCAAAGTATTAAATTTAAAAAAAAATTTAAAACCAAAGATAAATGTTTATCTATACAATTCACATACCCTCTTTTATACTAAAAACAGACATTATTTTCCATTTTTGGTTAATGAAGAAAAATGGAGAACAAAGGAGAAAAGAGTATCTTAGTTAAAATTTGTAAACTAATAATTAAATAATAAATAATCAAAATGCATAAATTTTCTCTAATACATTATAAAATGTACACATTTTTCTCATTTATTTATTCTGTTTATCCATTTGATGGCATAAATTTTCATCTGATGAAAACGAATGCTTTAATCTTATTTTAAAAATTAAATAAACTAATTAAAGTTAATCATCTTTTGCTGATGTAATAGCTCATATTTACATATGATACATAATAAATGGATTTCAAATGCATTAACTGTTAATCAGAATATAATCCAAATACAGTTACTAATCAATAATTAATAAAATAACTAAGAACTGAAGAACTCCAGTGAACTATAAAATCTTCAAATATTTTTTTTAAGTGGATGAAATTTCAGGTTTATGTATAAAATGAAAATAAAACTTTTTTATGAAAACTTGTAAGAAAAACACAAGTTTGTAATTTAATTTGTTACAGAGTTGTGAAGTGATTTTGATGTTTGATATACATATTAAAAACTATGTACTATTCAAGGGACAAATTAATTAAAATCTACACATATTTAGAACAATTTTGCAAACATAACAATAAAATTGAAGAACTAGTTTTTCTTTTAAATTAGATTAACAAAATTTAAATAAACAGAAATTTTTAATAATGCCATTTTATTCCTGCTTACATTTCTGCATAAATCAATTTAAGAAAATTTTTTTATTAAATGAAATAATATGATGCATAAATAAATAAATTCTGCATTTTTCAACTTACAAATGCCATACTTACATTCCCTTTATAAAAAATGAATAAAAATTTAAACAAGAAATTTTTCTAGCCATTTTTTATTCTTAGCAGTGCTGCTAAAAGATTAATTTCTAGGTACATGTGAATATCCTGTTGTAACTTAATAAAAATATTTGTTAATTTTACTTCTTTGGAAAAAAAAAAAAAGCTTCTACGCACATTAAATTTGAAATTTGTATTTACTTAAATATTAAATTTTTTTAATACGATTCAAAGTTTAATTTTAAAAAAGCTTCTTTGTTTTTCCTTTGAAGGGGTATATTAATGTCAATTAAAACCTTATAACTTACGTATGCAATCATTCCGACTTTTGCTGCCTTCTTGTCTGGTGTACATAGAATCAGGACAACGTTTACAAGAACCTTGACGTACTAGATCCTGGTAAAATCCCCTTGGACATACAATGCATTCATTTGTTTTAGAAGCATGTGTTCCTGCTGGGCAATGCACTATGAAAAGTAAAATAAGATATACAATTAAGTCTGAGTTACGACAAAATATATTTTTACAATTATTACTATAAAGCTTAATTACTCTTTAAAAAGGCTAAAATTCCTGATTTTATATATTTTAAAATATGTTAAAAGCACAAATTTAAAAATGAATAAAAATGTTTATGCTTCAATAAATTTAAATGAAACTAAAGTCTCTTTTATGAAAAACTGCAGCATAATAATAACTGAAATAAAAATGACTTCATTCTGCCACTGACTTCTAAATTAATACATAAATATTGTTTATAACTAAATATATTCCTAGCATTTCCAATGCTGGTTATATTTTTAATATTTGCTGAAACTGTCTTCTGATGATGCATGATTTTGGACTGGGTTAGGAAATAGATTTAAATTTTACTTGTAATAACATACAAGAAACAACATCTCCTACAGCGAACACCATTGCAGAATAGATTAGGTTCATTAAGCAAGGAACCAATATATTTACTAACATTTAAAAATCTTAAATGCCGTTATATTTATCAAATTATTTACTTACAGCACCTAGGCACTTGACTCTCGCCCAGTGAATTTAACACTTCACCTTCGTCACAAGCAAAACCTCGTGTCACGTGAGATCGAATAGCTTGCAAACTTGGACATTGACTGGATATACTTTGAGATGATACATTCAAAATTGGTTCTATTATAGCAGAAGTACTTGGCACACTAAGATCAAATATAAGTCCTAGAGTGGATCCACAAAGATCATAGAGTAATGTCTGGCGAACTACAGGATCAATACGTATTGTGTAGCCTATGACAACCTGTAAAACGAAGAAATAATCAATTGGTATTCTTAAATGAATAAGCTACTTAATAAAATTAAGACTTTTATGACTACCATTAAAAGCAGTCTCAAAATATTACATTACAAAGCCATTTAATATAAAAGGTATTATTTGAAATCTTAAAAAAAAAAGTGACCTTTTTGGAGGGGATTCAGAAATTTGTCACTTTCCAATTATACTTTCTGATATCAGATATTTTTAAAGAGATTTATTTTTATTACTAGAAAATAATGCCATGTTTAGTATTATAACACACTTAATATTTTAAGATATCAAGCAGCTTATATAGAGATTCTAGATTAAAGTAAATAATGTTAAGCAGTAACCAAATATAAATACAACAGAACTCTGATTAGATCTAACTGGATATCTTTCTGTCCAAATATTTATTATAATAAAAATTATTATTGTAATGCAAGTCATAATTATGTAATGCAGGAAATGATATATGCAAAATACTAGCTTTGAAACACTAATAAAAGTATTTTAAACACTGCACTATAGTATTTGCTTTATTAATTAGTTATACTAATTAATACAATGTTTTAAAGTTTAAGTATTATTTTAATAAATAAAAAATCCCATACATTTCAATTTATGCAGGGTGGTTGTAAGAATCCTTCCCCGATACATGAAAACCTAGTGGCCTATTTGCTCAACCGATCAAAATTAAATTTCAAATAGTTTTATTTGAAGGTACATGCTCAAGATCGCAATGATTAAAAACAACAGAACTCTCCAGGTTACAGTTATAGTGAAGAAATTTCAAAATTTTTGAACTTTTTCCTGTGCAAATTGTTCCACTTTTTTCCTGTGCAAATTGTTCAGCGCACTGAAAAACAATAAATGGCATTGGAACAATACACATATGATGAAGATTACGACGTAAAATATTTGCAAAGAAGAGCATTGTAAAAGACCAAATATAACAAAAGAGAAGAGAGGGAAAAAACTTTTATTGAAAACTATTACATGCTCATTTTAAACATGTTTCCACTATACATAGGTGAACTCATATTTCTCGGGAGTATTCTCCCAATAACCAGGACTATTGGGGTAAATGCTGACTGAGAGAATGGTAATAAAAATACTTCTGAATGGTAATAAAAATACTTCCATTACTTTTATCCTTTTATTGTTTACTTTTCATCCTAAAATATGTAGGCTAGTTAAAAAGATAGAGAATGAATTCATTTTTTAGCATGCATGTGACACATGGAACAAAATAAAACTTCGTGAATAACTTAGATTTTGCTAATTGTTCCGAAGAGCTTGAAAAATATTTGGGCAAATACTTTTAAGTTAATCTGGCGATCTATTTGGTCATAATAAAAGATCAATACGTGAGACTTTTCTCATGTGAAAAATGACTGTTCTTAACAAGCAAAATGTAGCTTTGAAGGTTTGCCTTCAATTGCAGAACCTGCTACAAAAATGTATGATATGTTGCACGGGTATTTTATCACAATCAACATCATTTTGATGATTCAAACAATTTAAGAATGACTGTATTTCTGTCAAATGGAAGTGGTTTGGATGCTTCTGTAAACATAATGAACATTATGATAAGCACTGCTGTTATCATTGTTGAAGAAAATTATTAAGTAAATAATGGATGGACCAGAGGAGATATTACACAATTCTCATACAATTCTGCACAACTGGATGAATATTTGTGCGATATGGGTGTGAGTGCTAACTCCTAGATATATTGAGATGTGTTTAGGAACTTCAGATTCTCATAACAGAACATGGCATGACACGGTGTTGTTTTGAGGCACCTGAAGGAACCAATCTTACTTTCAGAGAGTTTTGAAAAGACCACTTCCACAATATTCCCTGCCTCAAGATGATAAAAAAGGCATGGGAGAGGTTATAATGAACATCCTTATTTCTGCATGGAAGAAGATTTGGTTGGACAACATTGTTGAACTCAACTGCATGGGGGTTTGAGCAAATGCCCATGGAGGCTGTAATCAACGAGATCGTATCCCTGGCCAAGATTATGGGGCTACAGGTGGATAGCCATGACATCGATGAGCTAGTGGAAGAGCACAGTCACAAGCTGATTACTAAAAAACATATGAAGCTTCACTCTGTCACAGCAAGAAGTTGGGAAGAAGAATTTAATCAGGGGAAGAGGAGATAACAACCTTCCAGGAAATAAGAGAGATGCTAAAAGCATGAGAAACTGCTGCATGGTATGTTGAGAAGCATCACCCTAATGAGGCAGTAGCTGTGCACGTTGTAAATTTATTTAACAATAATGTTGTGTCTCATTTTTGCCATCTTTTGAAGTTTAGGTAAAAACAAATATCTTTAGAGAACTTTCTTGTAAAAAAAAAGATGTATTATAAATTTGTTAGAGTACTTTTTTCAGAATGAAATGCATTATCCTATTTTACATCGATTCTTATTGAAAAATTTATTTTGTTTAATGAACATTTTGTATTACAAGTAAGATCTCGAAACAAATTAAACTCGTTGAGAGAGGTTCCATTGCATATATATATATATATATATCAAAAATAAAAATTTATTACATTAAGTAATGCATAATAATCAGAAAAAGAATAAATTTATGCAATTGCTTTTTTTATGCCGTCATATTTTAACCAGGACAGAGAAAAGTGGATGAAGCATATTGCGCCTCACCTCGGGATCTAACTCAGCAAGGAATCCACTATAAAATGTGCCTCATTCTCACCTTTCTCCTGCTGGGCTCTCCATGTTGCTGGTCTCTGTCATGCATTCTGATAATTGTATTTTAAAATTTTGATAATGTCTTTGTGTCTATTTAGATTCTGTTGCTCATATTGTAAGGTATTTCTCCCGCCTTCCAGGCATGCCTTCGTGGTGTAGTGGTCAGCACACTGAGCCGGTATTTCAGAGGTCCGTGGTTCGATTCCCGGCAAAGGTGTTTGCTATTTTTCACCTTGCCTACTTCCAAAATACCTAATGTATATTTCATTTCATTAGTTTTGGCATATTTCTGTTCAGCCATATGCCATGAGTTGCATCATATTTTGTGGGATTTTATCATCTTAATTGCTTGACACTCAGGATATACCTGATATCTCCTGGTATAACTGGTTAAGCAATGTCTTTTTTTGTGAATTGACAGTTAAATATATAATGTTCAGGGTTGCTCCTTTCCCCATATATGCATATATCTGTTTCGCCTAGATTTCGAATAAAACAGTATGTGAGAAAAGGGCTATGTTCCATTAGAATAGATTTATTAAGAAATTATATGAGATTGGTCATGTGAAGAGGACTTATACATTTTACATACTCTTCTTCCTTATTGTGCTTCATTCCATTCATTTTCCAAGATTTCTAGTGTACTTTTTCTTATGGAGTTCTACTTTAAAATTAAATTTTAAATAATATTGATATATATGTATATATATTGACATTAAATATAATATTGATATTAATATATTATAATATATATATATATAATATTGATATTAAATATTATTTATAAAACCAAACCCCGAAAACTGAAAAGAAAAGAATAAATAATTATAGAAATAGAAAAATATAAATAACCTAAATGCTTATTCTGTTATTCCTGTGTGGATAATGTTATTCCTGTGTGTTATTCCTGTGTGACCTTTAATAAGCATATAGTCAGCAACTTAATAAATCTTAATTTTAAAAATGCAGTACGCAGTAATTCAATACAGAGAAACAAAGATATTTTCAAATCTTTCATGCAGTCTCACCTCATTATCAGCTTTAACTCTGACTGACGTATTGTGGAATGTGATCTCCATTTTTACATTGATAGCAGAACACCTTTCTGATAATACTTGATTCAGAGAACTATAGTGTAATCCGAGATAACCAATATACTGACTCAAACAAGAAGGTGAAACTGGGCCATCAGCTGTATAGTCCACTGTGGCCATTACATCATAAAATGCTTGGTTTGTATCTATGGAACAATACAACATAAAATAAATATAAACCAACAATATTTTATATAAATTTTGAAATCAATACATAACCTCCAGAAAAAAGAATTGTAAAATTTCTGAAGAAAAATCACAGAAAATTAATTTGCTGCAAAAATAATTGCAAATTACTCCTGATTAACTGAAAATAGATTAATCAGATTGTGGATTATGAGTTTTATTTGTGTTTTCTAAGAAAAGTTAAGTTTGTTCTATTATATAATGATGGAAAATTACCACCACAAAGTATCAGCATTAAATGAGACTAAAAAGGTTAAAAGAAATATATATATACATATGTATTTAAACAAATTTAAATTTTAACAAACATGTGTATACGTAAAAAAGCAAATTTAAAGTTAAAATAATTTTTTTAAAAAAATTTAATTTTTGAACTAATCTACAATATCATTTAAATTCAGATAGCATAAGTAAATCAAGTGCAAAACCAAACCGTGAAAATAAATTCACCAATTTAGCAAATTAAAATTAATCTAAAATTTTTTTAAAAATGCATAAGTGAATGAATGTTGAGCAGGCAGGAGACAGACTTATCAAGGGAAAGTTGCCTCCGAACCGAACTCTTCAATCATTCAATTCGTGTTTCGTCATTCATTGAGGCAAGGGTAAAAGTCAAAACCAAAAGTAAAGAGTGAAGAAAGTCCAAAAAGAAATACCAATAAAGTGGTACCTTTAGAAATTAACAATTAAAAATACCAATGAAGTTTTTTTAGAAATAAGCAAGTAAAGTCTAGTATTAAATTAAAATTTTTAAAAATAATTTATATATATATATATGCTGGGTAAGAGCAAAAATAACAAATGATTACATATTGGGAATTATTTTTATCAAGAACTTAATCTGAAGCATATAAATATTGTTCAATTTTAAAACTGTCCTTTAAATAATAATATTTTTTCCTCACAAATATTATTATCTACAAATTAGTTTCTTCACTACTTAAGATAGTTATTATTCTGTAATTTATAGAATTTGACTTTCTTTGGTAGCATAAGCTAATATAAAATTTCTAACAGACTTGAAGCGAATTATCGCGGTGTCTTGGAACGACAAAGTCTTGGAAAGAATTTAAAATACCCTTTTTAATAAAACAGAACTTGAACATAAAATGGACATCTTGTGCTTAACAAGATTAACCATGACTTGTGGCAATGTAACTTAAACTAACAATAGAATTCAAATTAAAACTTAATCTAGGAGCCAAGGATTACACAATTTAATTTAAATCCAAGTTGGCTCAGAACTTCTCAACAACATATAATTTAAATGATGGCAGCTATAACATAAATCGCAAAACCTAGTAATGTGACCTCGGATGACAGAAACATGCTCTCTTACAGTCCAAAACCCTCTTTTGAATACTCTTTGCTGCATCATAATTTACATTTATGGTGAGGAAATGGAAAAAGAAGAGTTATAGTAAAGGTCAAAGTCATAAAAACTGGTTAATTAAAATTATAATAATCCTACAAAAAAATTTTTGTTTTGTTTTGTTTTGTTTTGTTTTGAATAATGACTTAATTTATTTCAGAAAATGAATTTATTCTCCACATTAAACCGCTTCGAAATTCAGGAAAACTGTTAATAAAATTTTTCTGTTAATTATTATGTAGATTATTCCTTCTCCCTGTGGTTTTTTAACTGCCTTTGAATTACGCATGAATTTGTGCTAACCATGGACGTTGTCTCCGACATTACGCTGATTAACTGGAAGCCATCTGTACAATTTCTAATTTCAACAAAATATTTCTTGTAATCTACAAGAGGTTTACAAAGTGAGAAGCATAGTTATGCACATGCTATTCATAACAAAAGCATAAAATTTTAAATCCTAAACAGGCCTTATGTAAGAAAGAGGCAGAATTATATAACACAGGAAATAACCTTTGTTGGCATTTAACACAGATGATTAGCTTAAGTAGTGATTATGTATCGACCTATAAATATTTAACACATATGATTTGTTTAAATACCTCTGATTATGTAATGATTTCCAATAAATGTTCAACAATACAGAAAAAGGAAGAAAGATCATTTAAAATTTACAAGCTGTGGGAAAAAAACTTTTCAACAGTAACTGATCAATATTTGGAAGCAAATGATTAACATAATGAAAATTTAAAGACAACAACAGCAAATGCTTCATGTAGATTGTCTTTTAGAACAACAAGAGCTTTCTTAACCTGACAAATGCAATGTATGCAGCATTTTTTGTTTGGATCAATGTATTAGTACGAGTTGTTCTTTTCAAAGAAGCATCCATGAAAACAATTATTTTTCCCATGAAAAAGATAAATATGCTATACATCAAATTACTGAATTGCTTTTTTTTTTTTTTTTCATTATAATAATTTTTTAAAAGCAAAAAATAAAATTAAAAAATTAAACTTAATTATTTTATAAACACACACATTGGAATATATCAGGAAAAAATAACCTAAATTATTCTTCTGTTGAACATTTTTGATTTGATAAAGAAAAGTTATACTTTCTTCAGAATTGAGTCTGGCACTTTCTCTACTAAAATTAAAACTGAAACTAAACCAACTTTAGTTTGGGTTTTGTTAGACTTTGATTAGTCATCTGTTGGTTTTAAAACTAAAAATTACTTTGTACACTTCTATATTTCAGTATAACAGACAAGAAGAAATGCTATGGCTTTCTGAGCATTAATATATATCAATGTTTTTTCACACTGTTAAATTATCCTTTTATTTTAAAAAAGCATGAACACATTTAAAATTTGACAGATTTTAGAAATCCACATGTATAATATAAATAAGAATAAAAATTGCACCTAAATTCTAGAAATCATAAAATTATCAAACTAATATGCAGAACAAAAGAAAAGATAAAAAATTAAACAAGCCACATAGCTGAACTATAACGCAAAAACTAAAAACTACAAAGCAAGGATTCAATGAACATTTTGTTGTAAATTCTATTTATAATATTTTCTCCCCTTTTTTCATAAAATTATTAAAATATTTCATTATTTATTTTATTAATTAAATTTTTATTTCATTTATTCTTAAATGAAATAAAAATTTTAATGAATATCATCAGACAAAAAATGATTTATTTAGTGTAAAATAAAAAATATATACTGATTTCAATGTAGAGATTACAGACATTACCTTCTGGTACGCAGTCTGGAACAATACTTGTAGGTGCCCATGGTTGTCCAGCTACACATGAAAATGTCTTCGCCTGATCACCATCTGTAAACCGGAATCCTGTGTTGCAAGTTGCTAAACATCGATATCCATTTCTTTCATCATCTGGGAGACAGTTAACGATACCATTAGCTGGAGCTTCGAGAGACCATGCAACACACATTGCAGGCTGAACTGCAACTTGAAAATGACAGAAAGCTTGATTGCCATGTATATCAGTTGCCACAACGGTGACATTACGGAAATCCCAGAGAGGAATTATGGCAGTCTCAGGAGTCAAAGTGATTGTGACAGGGCCCGATGCATCTGTTGCATTTATCAGACGACGAGTATCATTGAAATTCACAGCATAACTATCTTGTTGCTCCACAAGCTCAATAACATATGACTGAGGACAGCTTAAGAATGGAGGTGTATAATCTGTAAATAATTAGGTTAAATTACAAAATGAAATATTATTTATTTTGATCATTAATCCTCTAAGTGGCATGATTGCCTTTATCATGTTATGAGATATGCTGGTATTTATTAAAATATTTGTTATTTAATTAATTTTGTTTTCTCATTTTCTTTAACGATCTAAATATTATTCCAATAAAATGAAAGTGATAAAAACAAATAGAACTCAAGTTTAGGTCAGGTATGAATATAGTATTAACATAAGATTTACCAATGATTAATTTTCACTTACATCGACAAACAAAAAAAAACCCACCCCTTTTATGGAATAATAATTTTAATATATTAAATCTATCTATATATGTTTAAAAGGTCGGACACTGGTACAGTAGTTAGCTTCGCTGACTGCAATGCAGAAAGGCCCGGGTTTGAATCCCGGAGAAGGCATCGATGTTTGTAAATGTAGTCTCGGTACGGCATGGTGGCACTCCAAATATGCAGTGAGCCGAAAGTCCTCTCGTGTGGTTTGGTTGAAGGGAAGAGAGGGGTGGGAAGACCCTCAGATTCATCCCCCCCGGGGTGCTCTCCATCAAAATTGGGAGTGGAACTGAGGTAAATCGCACTGTCACCTGTATGGTGCTCGACTGTTGTCAACGACAGGCGTAATCTTGTGCTCCTTGCCAAGAGGAATTTCGTGGGCTTTGGTTGATATTATTGTCAGACAAGTGAGCATAAGAAAAAGCATATATGTTTAAAGATATATTTTTTAACATACATTCATACTAGATCATAAGCCATCTAAGGATTAAAGTGCTAATATTTAAAAAGACTTAAGTATGCACTCAGCATAGATTTCTTTGCAACATATTTTCCTTCAAAAATATTATAATAAAATAGTTATCATATTTCCTTGTGCATTTTCCCCCTTTTCTTTTTAGTGATTTTATCATTTTATCATCCAGAAATAGAGAGGAGAAAATTATGCGAATAATTTAATTTCCAAAGAATGTGGCTACAGTAAGAACATAACAAATTAAAATTAGTCATGGATATCTATCACAATATTAATTCTTTTAAAGAAATTTACATTCTAATAAAAATACATAGTAATATTAACATTACAATAAATAAGATGTTTTTGTTTCTACTTCTCTGTAAACTGAATTTCCCTATTCTTATTGTCTTTGCTACTCCTACATTACTGGGCCTCACAATATATATACTGTATTTAAATTATAACAAATAAACACAGTTAAAATGGTATTTAGTTTTTGAAAGATTAATTGCATAACAAAGTTTGGTACTTATGTATTAACGCAACCAGGCCAAAATTCGCATAAATTGCCAAATTTGGCAACCCTACGTGTTATACGTAGTTTTGTAAAAAGAGCATGTGGAGATTCACAAAATTTTCCTGCATTTTCGTGCAAATTTTTGTAATTTATGAGAAAATAGCAGTGTACATGGATAAAGTCAAGAGTGTGCGCAATGCCATTTTTGTGCAATTCTGGGATGTTTTTTAAGTAAAAATAAGTCGACGTGTACATGGTTATGGCGAATACGGTTTTCAATCAGTGCTAAAAGCAACAGCCAAAAGATTTCCGCCGAAAAAATAATTCTGCAACTTATTCAAATTCGAAACCGGAAGGTTTAATTGCTATTTTATATTTTAAAACAAAATAATATAAAAAAACTGTATTAAAAATTATCTGTAATTAATAAATGTACATTTTTTTTCTATTCATACTTTTTTACTCAAACTTACAAATCGCGCCAACCTGGTTGCGATAATACACAAGTACCCAAAGTTTTACATTTTATTACAAAACCTTTTGGTTTAGGTACTTATTCCGAATTATATTTACTTATGCATATTTTATATTTATGTTGATTTCCTGATATTGAGTTCTCAGTTTTCAGTTATTTTATGATGGATGTAAAGAAATCTGTCTGATAATCAAATTACAAAAAGCACTAATATTTTATTTAAATTTTTTTTATATTTTTACTTGAAAATGAAAAATTATTTAAAATTTTAATATGTGATTCTTTTATAATACTTACACACAGTAAATAAATATGATGTACAAGTAAACAAATATGTATTAAATTCAGAGAATTAAGTTGGTGTTTAATCTGCTAAATAAATCGCTTGAAAATCTAAATTATTCATTTCAAATTCAAAATATTTTACTGTTAATCAATACCTGGGACAGTAATGTTAACAACACAGACTGCAAAATTCCCATCTGAATCATGAGCTATATATTCAATACTCATATCTTCAACAACAATAGCAGGCAATGTGAAACCAAGAGGATGTACTTCAAATCTTGCAATGTATCCAGAATTATCCACTGCTACAGGCACAGAAAAATTGACAGGGAGTATTCCAGATAAAGACCGACTCACTACAACTGGCCTTGTGGGGCAGTTGATAAACTGTGGAGGTTCCGTATCTGTCAGAGTGAAGTAAAACAAGGAAACATTAATTAAATTAGAAAAAAAAATAAAAATAAAAAATTTGTTTCAATTATTTACCTCCCATCACCATCAAAATCAAATTCCTTGAATTAATTTTCCCTATATAAAACATACCTATATTAACTTCTTTTATAACGTTTATTTAAAATATTGTTTCAATGAAAAATTGCTTAAATAACAACATTACTAAATTTTGCTTCTGCGCTTACAGAAATAAAAATGCATGACATAAAATTAAGCTATTCTTTCAAATTTCATCTTATTGAACAATATATTTAATATACCATCTGAACAAAATCACTTTCGAAATGATTTCTTTGTAAGACAAGCATATTTTAAAAAACTGTTTATTTTAATGGTTACTTTAGAAATCCCTTTTAACTGATAATTACAGGTTCTGAATAAAAAATTATAACTTCTATTTCATAAATTACAAAGTTACAAAAAGTTATTCTAAGTTACAAGGCTACAAAAATTAATTTCTTGCCCCTACTTGAATTCCCTTATACAAATTTGAATTTGAATTTATGGTTACTTTGGGAATTTAACTCGTGTGTACTCTCTTCATATATTATTTTGTGAGAATACAGAACTAGAAAGAAATTCCAAGTTTTCACAAAATGGCAGAATCCAAAATTTGAGAGACTTATTGCATAAATTATTATTAAATAATTTTAAGTGATTTTAAAAAATTCCATTGTATGATGATACACTTTTACCAGTGCTTCTGCAGCTTCTGAGAGCATTTTGCTGCAAACTATCTTTTGAAATCAACTGCAACGCCTCCTTAGACATTGTTTTTACCCCTTATTGACAAAAAAGGACATCTTTTCAGGTTTTATTTCATCAATGGAAATCAATAAAAAAAAGTGCTTCGAGTTACATGAATGGATGGAAAGAAAGAGCTCTTTAATATTATTTCCAGTGAAAAAGTCCAGTTACATGATTGATGTACAGGCATCTCGTGAACATGGATCATTGTCCTCTCTGCTACAATTCAGGCCCTTTCAGCTCAATGGAGCAGAGCAAATAATGGATAGACAGAGGGAAAACAAGCAAGACATGGTACATTTTAATTTATACTGTCAGAGATAACATTGTCTCTGAATATTTAGATCATATTACTTACATATTAATGCATATTCTGTTACTGATTATGGTTCTTCAGGAATGATGAGAATTTCTGTGCAATTATATATATATAGATGCAGCATCATCACTGTAGAAAACTACATGCTCTGCTAAAACTATAGTTGCTTTTTGAAATTAATATGTGTTGCAAGTAATTTTTATAACTAAGAGCAAATTTACCATATCGATTTTTGCATTTTAAATAATAAATACATTTAAAAACATTTTAAATTAAAGTTTCTATTTAGAAGTATTTTATTTATTTCTTCATAACACTAAACCTTTTTTACATGAGACTAAGTTTCATAACTTTTTTCATAAAATTCTTACATTTTTAAGAATATAATACATCATTATTAAAACATTAAAAAGTATAGTCATATTGGTTTAAATAACAGATTAAAAGATAGATATAATTTATCATAGAGTTGAAACTTTAAAACTTAGCAATTATACATAATTGTTCAAACATTATAGTATGTGAGAGGAAAAAAGAATATCACCAGATAATGCAATATTTTAATGATATATTACAGGAAAGTGTCATAACATGAAATCTCAAATTAATGTTATTAAAAAAAGTTAAATTTACTGAATGAATGCGGGTACTGTTCTGTTATTAGGAGCGAAGTCATTGACAAATGCTTTTCTAAACTCGCAAAGAGACTGGTTCACATGAAATTGCCATTGTTTACTTTTGAAGTCATTACTCTTTTCAGAAAAAAAAAAAGGAATGTCTTTTTTAAATTAGCAACGAGAATGCAAATTCCAAAGATGCAATGGTCACTTGTGTTTTTATTTCTGTTGTATTTACTTTGGATTTGAAAATTTGGACTTGCCTAATGATGAAATATCTTCCATACAATTTCTTCAGGAACGAGGAATTATTCAGCCTGAAAAAATGCGCATGAAAAACCATAAATTGAATTTTTTTCTGACTTCTTTGGCAAGTTGTTTAACAAACATTAAAAATTTCTAATTTTACGAATAACTGTTGTTATTTTTTCCCTCGGACTTTTCTTCAACTTAATCGTATCGTATTTTATTTATCGTAATTTAAACATTTTGACGATTATTTCTATGCTTCGAATTTTTCGCCAGATCGTAAGCTTCTGGGGATATCTGAATCAGTCCCAATAACAGAACAGTACTTGAATATGTTCTAATCTCAAATGTGTCAATAGTATGAAACTGGCGTTAAATGAAGGATATTCAGTAGTGTGCACTTAAAAACTGATATTACATCACCTAAGCTGATATTCTGTATTATTTTTATATGCAAAACAGAAAATTAGATTCCAATTTTTTTTGTTTTCTTTTGTTTAATTCTATATGACGTACAGATAGATATTATCAAAAACCAGAGCTATATTTCAACACAATACATTTTATAAAGCAATGTAAAAAGATATCTGTAAAGAATTTACCTATACATAAAGGATATCCCGCATTATATCCTAGAAGTATTGGTTGCTTTGGTTCTTCACAACCCAAAAGTTCAAATTTTAAGCATGGATTTCTGCTATATGATACAATTCCTAGAATAACATAACGAGCTCGAACACTCAAAGGCAGATTTATCACAGAAAGAGCTCCAAAATTGTCATCCTTGCCAGTTAGGTTGAAATTCTATTTGCAATAAATAAAAATTAATAGCACAGGATAGATAATAAAACTATTGAGAACAGTATAAACTTTTCACTAATACCCCCTTCCCTGCCCACCCACCCCCCAAAAAAAAGAGGAGAAAGAGAAAGAAAATCAAACAGAATCTCACCATGATTATGAAATTATAATCTGATCCTACAAATGCCAGTTTTAACATCAGAAGTAGGATTTACTGTATAATTTAATTTTGATCACTAAACTAATAAATAAATAAATTAGAGTTGAATCTGGTCTTTGCCAGCGCAGTTAAACTTTAAGATTTAAAGAATCTGAAACTGAGGTATGTTGAGGACACATTTACCAAATTATAACAATACACAGAAAACATACATGCTTCACCACCAAAGAAAATTGATTGAAAACATTAAATACTTTAGTTTTTCCATATACATAAAATGTTATGTTAATGTCTAAAATAAATTTTATTACTTAATATCAGAATGTAATATTAAAAAAAACTTAAATTTCTTTCTTCCTTTTCCAAATGGCAAAAAGCATAAAAATTTAAGTATATTATCAATGTATGTATATATATTTTGAATAACTTTTACATTATTCAACTGTAAGAAATTGAATATCATTCTATTTATTTGCATCAGTATAATTAATAATTACAAACTAATATTTGCATTGCCTTTTATTAATTACACAAAGTGGCAAGTTACAAGCGTATATTTGTAAAGTTTACTTTTCTACAAATATAGTTTCATTATCATAAATTTTCAGTTAATATATTAAAAAAAAGGCTATACTTACAGGAAAATAAACAACAAAATTCTCGGCCTCTTGTACTTTGTAAAAAAATCGTATCTCTGTAGGTCGACCAACTACATCATTTGTAACAACACCCTTGATCAAAAGAGCAGTTATGATAAATGTACGTCCGAGATCAACAGTAACATAAGTAAAAGGTTCTGTCTTGCCACACCATCCAGTAGCACTATTGAGTCTTATATTCTAAAAAATAATAATAATTGTTATTTCCAAAGAGTATAGTTTAAAAAGTGTGAATATTAAGCCCATGGTTAATCTATTCTATGGTGTTTAAAATTAAAATTTCTATAATTTTAATGATAATTTTAAAATATTTTCAGGAATTAAAGCACACAAAAATATACAGCACAGAACTATAAAGCACACAAAAAAAAATAACTTTATTTCTTTCAAATAGTGTTATTAAGCGAATAAAAATGGCATATATAAATAACCAAAATTTTAATTAATTTCCCTTTAAATTCATACATATATCTTGCATTTATTTTAAAACAATGTTAAATTATTGGTACAGAAAGGGAAACTAATTTTTTCAATTTTTTATTTGAACCAAATTCATACAACTGCCAATGGTTTTGAACACTATTTACTATTGCTGCCAACTTTAAAAAAAACAGAAGATATTCTCATCAAGTTTTGTCATTTCTGGAAAGTTTTCATGCTGCACAGTGATGCCACATCAAAAGGCCTCCAAACTGATTTAAATTCCTTTTCTAATATAATGGTGCTTCAAATTCTATTAGACTAAGTATGATATTTAAAATATATTCATATTTTATTAAATATTCCTAAATTTTAAAATCTTTGGCTACCAATTTCAATAAATTTACAAATCTGAACCTTCTGTAATTTTTCACATTTTTATTTATTTATTTTATACTGAGAAAATCCACAGAACAGAGCAAAAATGTTTTTGAACAAAGTACCTTTAAATACAAAAAATAAGTTATTAATACACATATTATTGTATGGACACAAAATTGCAGTTTTTCTGAAATAACATACCAATTTTTTCAATATTTCGATTCTACGACTTAAATGTTCAAAAAAAGTAACATGAGTAGTGTTTAAAAATTTAGCTCTCAACATTTTAGCTCCTCCATGTTAATTGAATTTCATATATATTTATTAATATCTCTTTTTTATTAAACTCGACTGTTCCTTTCACATTCCGAAATTTAGGTTCATTCCAAATAAAATTTGACATTTTTTATGATTCATTTTTAAAATTTGTATTTTAAAATTTTTCGAGAAACATTTTGAACTATAACGTATAAAAATTTCTTATCATCTTTGATATATTTCTAAGCATACTTGGAGAAACTTAGAGTTTTTTATTCAAAATTTTCTAAGATATATGCTAATTTACATATTGCCAAGGAAATTTGGCATATTTGTTATAAGTGATAATAATGCCAAATGTAGTTTACCCACTTTTTAAAAATTCTTTGGAACTACCCACTTTTTAGCTAAGATAATTGCTCATGTATAATGAAAAAAAAGGAAAGGAAAATAGGTTGCTTTTAATTAAGAAGTTCGCCAAGTCAATTATTCTTGGTGCAAATGGCAAAAAAAACACCAATATAAATTTTCAAATTTCTCCATAAATTTCTCACCAAAAATTACAAAATTTAATATATAGGCATAATTTCAGTCATAGAATTGAGATATGAAAAAAAATTGGTATGTTATTTCAGAAAAAGTCTGACTTTGTGTCAAAATACCTATGTTAGAACAATGCTAGATATAAATCTAATATAGTATATCCTAAGTCGCACTTTCGAGACAGAAGTCAACATGGAAAACAGAAGTTAAACTTGACAATCGGTCCAGTAAAACAGGAAACATAAAACTTCCCATTTTATTTTGAGCAAGATGTACATAAAAAAGGCCGATCTTTTTTGTCAAGCCTAATTCTATCACTTGTAGTTACAACAGTAGTTACAATACAAATTTGGGCAAGCACAGAAAACTTTAGGTAAAATGATAGAAGATTAGTTAGTTCCGATCAACATTTATCGAGTCAAAGTACAATTACTGTAACTTAATTTTTAGAAAATGCTTTATATAAATTCATTTAATTTTTACATTAAAAAAATAGCAGTCTTAAGAATAATGATAAGAAAAATGCAGAACTATAAATTAATACTTGGCTTTAATGACCTAAATACTTTTATTCTGTCAAAATTTCAGCTGATTTAATAGAACTGAAGTTCAACTTACTCGAGCTTCATAATTTAGTCTCTGTGAGGTTGCATTAATTGCAGAGTCAGGTATAGCACCAGTGCTGAGCCCAATTGGTTTAATAACTTTGCATTCAGCATCTATTGAAAACAACAAATTTTAGGAATAAAAATACAGAAGAAATAAATATATCTCGCAAAGATAAAAATTAATTCATATTATATGTATGTTAAGAATTATCTTAGCTAAAAAAATCAGTTTTTATGAACCAATAAAAATTATATAATAAATCACTGAGAAAATATATAGCAGTTATTAGTAAAGAACATTCTACTGACGACTTACACTAGATATTTAAGACAGAAAAACAGAAGCTAAAAATAGTTACACATGTATTTTAGACACATATTTATTTGGAAAAATCTGCTAAAAAAACACACACAGAAAATTTCTTTAATGCATCCTGAGACAATCATCAGACTGAACTCAAAAAGAAATTATTAATATGAAAAGCTAATTGATCTTATTATGATAAAGAGATTTTTCTCAATGTTTTTTAGCAATTTTTCTTATTTTATTTTATTTTATTTCAATATTCAGGTTTAAGCTTGGTTATTCCAATAAATAATTTTGATCACTGTTTACTTAAATTTGTATAACATAAGTTCTGGTTAAAATTTAATAAAAGGTTCATATCATAAAAATATACAATATACTCCACATAACCAAGCTTTATGTCTTTTCTTTCAGAGCATTTTAGGCACTAATGTGAAACATCATACATCATACATCATAGCAGTGATGTGAAACAAAAGTACATAATCTGAAATACTAAATACATAAACGTTTTTGATGCTGTAACATTTTATACAGAAATTCAAATTACACAATAAATGTAATCTTTTGGGGGGGGCGGGGAGAGGAACAAATTTCCCATAAACCATTTTTCATAAAAGAATTAGGTGGTCACTTAGAATAATTAGGTGGTATACTCAATACTTTAAAAAAAACTAAAATTTGTATACATTATAAAGAATACTGACAAAAATTTAGCTTAAAATTTCTAACACACATGTATTTTATGATACATGTAGCAGTGATACTTAGGTAGTACTGACTGGTACAACTATATATATCGGTAAATAAAATTTTCAGATTTTTTAAAATTTAATTTTATCATAATACTGTTAGTTAAAAAAAAAGAATAAAGAAAATGTAAAGATATTCACAAATTTAAGGGTAACATGCATCTAATACACAAAAATACAGCTTACTTGTTTTTACAATACATAAAAAATAAATCTTGCATATTAAAATTTATAGTTGTCATTCGGATACAAGCAGTGATTATTTACACACATAAATATACCAAATATGTTTCTAACTTTATCTATTTAGTAAAAAATCATTGTAATTCTGACCACCACTTGCCAGCAAGTTCATAGTCTTGTTTCATGTCAACAGATATTAGTTATATATTTTAGTTTTTCAGAATTTGAAAAACTTTCTGGTTGCTATTCACTCACTTTATTACTTAGATTTGCTTAAAAGACTGTCCAAACAACATTTTCTCTTCTTTCTAAAAAAATTATATATATTGTTACGTTTTTCTCTTCACATTAAGGGTTCATAGATTTGGAGTGAATAACAACAACACTTGATGAAGTATCAAAACACACTTTATTGTCCAGTATTATTCAAGACAGCTAGAAAAACACTTTTGCAGTCGTCGAAGAACTACTGTAATCACACTGCAACAATCAATGATACAGCCTTCAGACTATCAGGATATAACGGTGAAGACAGCTTCATGGCAAGGCACCAGAGTACAACTCCCGACTCTGCTCATTCATTCTCAGAACTCTACGTACTCTCGAGACTTTTCACGCTGCAACTTGCAATGCACTCAACAATACAATAAAGTACAGCTCCCGACTCGATCGTTCTCGGAGCTCAACATACTCTTAAGCTGAAACTTAACGATGCACTAACTCGAGATATACTAGGAGACTCTCTTGATGCACTCAACAACTAACTTGGCACTAGACTACGAGACACTGGCTCACTGACTCTTAGCTGACTTGACTTGACTTGGCACTGAACACTGACTGATTATGAACTCGCTAGATGAGACACTGACTGACTCTCCGCATATTAGCAGGGTTTATATAGCTTTTGTCTTGTGTTCGACAACATTCTGGGCTAAACCAGTAAGAATTTGTTCCGGAAGCTCCTCCATCCATCTATGATATATCACCAATTTTGTCGCCAAATGGCCGATTTCTTGCCAAATGTGGAAACCCTGCCTTCCTTTTCTATTTTCTGGCAACCTTAAACCTGCTTTGAAACTATCTTACCGCGCCAGGACATTTCGTAAGAATACATTGATATTAATTTAAAATATTACACTTAAACATTTTTCATTATTTTGGATCAATCTGTAGATCATTTTGATCACTGACCGAGACTACTGAAGATCTTTTCGGAGAAATAAACTGGAATGGTCAGAGTATATTATTATTTAAAAGATATATTATGGCACTAATTATAGTAAATAGCTGTTTAAATGTTTTTTAAGCATATTGATTATTGAAATTTCAGACATAACCTCTGAATAAACATATGTGTAACTTAGAATATTGAATTACACTACTTTGTGCAGCTCAATTATTGAAGTAATTTTTTTAAATCCAACAAGTCTTTACATTTTTGTTACTTTTAGGTATTTTATTATATACTTCCAAGTTGCATCAAAAAGAGATGTATATTTTAAAAAGTACTAAATATTTTCAGGAATGATTACGTATTTAGCAAGTAGTCTAAGGTTACAAATGGGTTTGAAATGTCTGAAAAAAAAATTAGTTCGATTATCAGTTTCAGAGATAATAAAATAAAAAACATAATGTGAGATAAAATACTTATTTTTCAAAGAAGTCTTTAAAACTATGAGACTTACTTTTATCACACTTAATAGGTTCACTGCTGTATGGCTCATAGCCAGGACGAAGACAAGAGAACTGAACTTCTGTCCCTTGCTCATAACTAATAGCAATCTGCTGACCATCTGGGGCATGACCAGGATCTTCACAAACAGGCCCTGTGTGTTTAAACAGAAATTATAGCTTAAAATTAAACAAAATTTATAGCTTAAAATAAATATATTTTCATATTAAAAATTATTACCTATAAAATGAAATGTTAGTTTGTTGTAAAATAAAAATTTCTAAAAAGTTTAATTTAAAACTAACTTTATTTGAAAAGTTTCTGAGCCTCCAAGAATAAGAAAATGCCCTTATAGACATCATGAATGTGGGAAAATGTTAAAGAAAATCTGATGTGTACACCACATGACTTCCTTGTACGGAATATTAAATTATATGTATTTTTTCTTGAATTTCATTTAAATTGATTGGATAGAATTAAATCTACTTCGTCAACAGTGCATAAACCACAATAGAATAAATGCACTCTTTAAAATTCACTATATTTGTTTACTATAACGACACTCTGAATGCACAAAATTTATATCATTTGAAGAATTATCTTTGCCACATGTTTTATTCAAATACTGTAATAAAGCTAAAACGATGTATGAAAGAAATTAAGCAAACAAAACAAAAATGAAACAGTTTTTCACAGACGATTCAGTATTTCTCATTCAATTAATTCAGCTCTCACTTCGCAACAAGGCAAAAATACATAAAACCTCAAAATATCTGCATTAAAAATTACGAAGTAAACACTTATTTGCTCAAAAAATTCCAGAAAGGATTAAGCATGATTTAATTCACAATAATAAATGAAGGCATTATTTTTGTGTTGCGAAGCTTAGTCTCTCTAGATTGGCAACAAATCTACAATTCTGTTGTTCCAAATGTAAACAAATATGTCTGCCATGTTATTTAAAACTTAACCGCACTTAAACAGCTTTTAAATTGTTGATAATTGTACAAATATTGCTTCCAGAATTACGAAAGGCATAAAAACCTTAACCGGAAGATAAAAACAACATAATTCAATCATTTTTTAAAGTAAAAAATGTACAATTTACAAACATATAAGAGTAAAGATACTGAGATCACTGAGCCGGGTAACAGAGTGGATATATATATAAATATATTTATATACATTTGGCGTGGCCGATTGCAACCAAAATACAAGGTGCACATCTACATGTTATAGTAGTCCTATATACAAAATTTCAACGTTCCGAGGTTACTCGTTTTTGAGTTATGCGAGATACGTACGTACGTACGTTCGTACAGACGCCACGAAAAATTCTCTTCAGAATTCATTTTAAAGCAATTTTATAATTTTTTTGGAGGAAAAGAGTGTTTTATTCTGTCCTTACATACAGATATCACACAAAAACATCGTTAAATTGCATTCGATAGCGGTCAAAATGGATATTTTCGTTGAAATATGTTACCTGAAATTTTTCGCGATTACAATACTTCCTTTTTACTTCGTAGAAGGAAGTAAAAAACTTATTTAGGATATATCAATTAAGTTCTCACAAATAATCATTTGCATTTTTTTAAAATTGATTTATTACATATTTTGGATAAACCATTATAAATCTTTAAAAACTTGTTGACATGGCAAATAATATTTTATTTCTAATATAAATGGTAATAAATTGTTATATTTATTAAAACTAGTACAAAATCAAAAAATCATTAATTTGTTAAGTTTCATCACTTCACATTTAATCAGCAAAAGCCATATCTTCAATCACTTCAGATGTAACTCCATATTAAAATCGCAGAATAGCCAATTTTGAATACTTTCTGAAATAAACTTTTGCAATTAAAATTTAAGAAAGGGAAAACAAAGAAAAAGAATCAAAAATAGCTCCTGCTATTAAAAGATATTTCAATATATAAATATTATGCTTAAATTAATTTTAAATGCTATAAAAGTAAATGAGATTACCCAATTTTCTAAGAAACACTTGCTTTTTATTTTATAAACACTTTTTAATGTTATTACATTGTTTTCCTTTTATTTTCTGATTCTCTATTATTTTTCCTTAATTACTATTTTGTCTTTAACAAGCAATGTGTTATAATTTTTTCCAAAAAGCTTTTGGATAAATTTTGTAATCATAAAATAAAAAATACCAGTTTTACAGATTAAATACATAAAAATTAGCTTGTAAAATAAAAAGTTCAGATAAGTAAAATAACAAATAAAATTTTTTTGCCCATCTTTTATAAAAACTCAAAACACAAACCTATATATGTAAAAAAAATTTGCCGAATTTTAAAATTAATTTTTTATATCTTAATACCTTCACATCTTAAATCTCCAAAATCCCAAGTTCCATCTTCTTGACATCGAATTACATTATCATTTAGCGAAGTTTTTCCAGCTAAAGTGAATGTTTCTTCACAGCCAAAGAAAAAGCTTGCTTTATATCTAGTATCTGCATAAAAACCATAAGTTGATCCAGGTGTTTCCGGAGGTGGACCACAGTCAATTCCTAAATTAAATAAAATAAAGAGAATGTTTATTTTAAAACAAGATGATACAATACAGTATAAAAAAGTTGTAAATAATTTTTAATGAATGTATGAAATTGGAGTATAGTCTTCAGCAAATATGCAGCTGGATTGGATTGGATTGGATTGGATTGGTTTATTTAATTACGGCAAAGCACATGAGGGCTATCTGCCTAAAGGGATGGATCCCTTCATGGAGGACTTTCTAAGGGAAACTGGCTCATATACACGTTACACATGGGTAAAACCACGAAAACGTCCATGCAACCAGCCCGTTCGCTGGATTCGAACCTCGGACCGAACTACCAGTGTTCAGCGTCTTTACCGCTCGGCCGCTGGTGGGCCAAATATGCAGCTGACAGAATTAAAGAAATTAGACATTGCAAACGGACCTAAAAATCTCATCTACCAAATTATTGCATATAACTGCTTTCCACTATGAATATATCCATCAGTAGGATTCCCAGAATATGAACTGATGGCTGCTTTTTTAAGATATAATTTAATTTTGTTCTGCTATTGATTCATGTGCATTGTTTATGACATATCATACAGTTCCTATATTTTGATTTGTCACTTTTTAGTATAAGTTATCAAAACATTTTAAGTGAAGTTACCATTAAAATATTTAAATATAACCATACATACTAGGGCATGATGGTCGAGCTCCAGAAAGCCAATGTGCTGGCATTCCATCATGAGGATCAAATACACACTGCCTGAATCCTGAAGTTGCAGTTGCTCGCAAAGGCTTTCCAACTTCATGGCACGAAACTGTTACATTTTCAAAGAAAGGAATATATTTTCCCTCAGATTCTGATTCAAACAGTAAACCTTGAGAAGGATCATCTGGCAATCTGTCACAGTGAGCATCTAAAAAAAAAAATAAAAGGCCAACTTTCATCCCCTGGTAAAAATACAACTGAAATAATCCATATATTAAAAAGCTTTTTTCAAAGGTTGCATAAATGATTATTTTTTCTTGAACATGAAGAAATTAAAAGTAAATGTTTTAATGATAGTTAATAAAAAAATTAGGTTCAATTCAATAAAAAATGTCAATGGAAAAAATACATACACCAAAACATAAATCTAAATAATTTATCTGAATTTTCTCCACTAAACAAATCCTAGTAATCTGAGAATATTATTATTAAAGAATTCAAATAAATGCAGTACTGTTTTAACTGATTCCTCATGCTACACGTTAGGAAGAAGAAATGATTCAATGATCTTCAAGTTAAAAAGCTATTTATTTATTTGCTGGACACCATTTTCAGACATTGATTCACAACACTTTCATCTCTCTGTCTTTGTGATTTTATGGAACAATGCAGAAAACAACACAGACAATAAAACAGAATTTAGCATAGTTATAATAAATGCATAATAAATGCAATTTTATTATAAATGCCCCTTTATTATAAACAAAACATTAGGAAATATAGCCTGAAAATCATTTCTATTTGCAACAATAATTCATTAATTTTTCTTTAAGACACAGAAAGTAACATATATATATATATATTCTTTTAAATACCGTAGACGCTCGTATAATGTTCGTGCCCCAACTTTACAGATAAAATTTATGTAAAAAAAAAAGTTACCCGCATAATGTCCACACCCAAAAAACTAAAGAATTTCTTACTTTAAAATACATTTTTCTTAACATCACCTTTTTCCCTTCAGTTAATAACATTAATCAATAGAATGAATAAATAAATATACCTAATATACCTTCTATACTATATTTACATATTTGTAAAAAAAATTATACAAGCATTTATTACATATTAAAAGTAATTTTTTTAGATATTTTCTTCTATTTAAAATTTCTATACTCGGGACAACATTGTTGTTTAAACACATAAACAGATGAAATTATCATTAGAAATCTTAATAGCACAATTAATTTTAAAACTACTGTTGTATTTTACATATCTCAAGGAACAGAAATATTCTCAAATTATTTCATTTTAAGCTTTTGTGATGCTTCTTTGGCAATATGAAGCAACTCCAATGATGGAATACAGAAAAAATTTTTATTTTACACTCAAAAAAATGGCGACATACAAACAAGAAGAGAAAACATATTCTAACATTTAAAAATAAATTACATTCTTTGTGCGAGAGTCGCACGTGGCACTCGAGTCTGGTTTCAAATATTGCCATTCACAAATACCTTAATGTTCATCTATTTAAATTATTTAAACTGGAAGATTTTAATATTATTTAAAGCTGTTACACTATTAACATAAATTTCATTTTCATATTACTTTCCCCAATGCCTAAATTTTGGGATAACTTTGATATTTGGGGGGAGAGAAAATAGTTAAAAAGAGTTGATTTTAAATTAAACAACAATTATAAAATTTCTTACATTCACAAGAAGGGACACTTCCGTTCCAAACACCATTGCTCGTACAAAGTATAGTGGGATTGCCAACCATCACAAAAGCAAAGTCACATAAGAAGCTAACTACATCTCCATAATGGAACATAGATTTTGTTGATAATATAACACCATTTTCTGGAGCATTAAGTGCAGGGCACATTTTAGCTGGAACAATAAAACTTCACATATTAATATTCAGTTTTAATAATCATAATAACAAAGCATGTTTACTAATTTTTTACACAACCTAAAACATACTTTTTTGGAATTAGAAGTCTTGAGTGATATAAAGTTCTTTCACTTCAAAAACATACTGAAATACTTAAGTGAGGATTACATGTGTTTCTTGCAATCAAAAATAAAGATTAAAAAAAAAATTGTAACAATTGTTGAAAAGTTTTTGTTTTGTTTGTTAAAGCTAATTTTTGTCTTTATTTTTCTAATAATTCATTCTCATTTCCTACTTTTAAAACTACCAATATCACAATGTTGCATAACACATTCAGATTAAGAATAATTTTTAAATAATAAAAAATTATTATTATTCTACATCAAAAATAAATTCAAATCTTCATTGGATTAAATGAGATTTAAAAAAGTCATATTTCTAGCAGTTCTGTTTGATAAAAAAAATTTAAATATATTACTAAATAAAAATTTGCCAGTAAAGCCAATGAAGTTTCAATGCCAGTAAAAACTGCCAATAAAGTTCCAAGGGTATTGGCTAATTATTCAAACTTATAAAAAGAAAAAAAAAATTATAATGAATTTTCATCACAAGAATATTTAAGATTATTTTAAAGCACCGAATTCTTAATATCAGTTATTAACACAGGTTAGCAAAATTTTTATTTTTAAGCAAATTTCATTGGTTTTAGCTTATTTTGAAAATGAAAAAAAAAAATTAATTCAAGTATTTTACATTTTCAATAAGAGGAAATTATTTGACTCCTGAGTAATAATCAAGAAATACTGACAATAATTACTTAATATGCAGTAAAACTCGCATGCATAGATTTGTTTAAACAACTGCAATAAGGGCAGATGTAATACAGCTATTTATAACATTCACAATATTTTTTATTAATGGCTTAAAAAGATAAATAAAAGGCTGTTTAACAAACATACATCATACTTTTATCAGTTAAGTAGATAATATGTGGAATTTTCTTACCTTTCATCTTTATTAAAAAAACATTTTAGCATTGATTAAGAAATGGAATGAAAGTTATGCCATTTTCTAGACAGCTTATTTTTGAAGCTAAATGAAAAAGACAATTTTTTGTTTTCCCATGCTACACAGATTAGCAAAACGAGTTTTACTCTGAATATAGGATTCCTTTCAATGTAAAAAATTACTCTTTCACATAAAGAACTGCAATTTCTATTTTTTCAATCAAAATTCTTGCTTTATATGCATTGACTTCTATTTTTCTCAGATTAAAGAAGCATTTTAATAATGTATGCTGCAAACACGTACTCAAGAGTTTCAAAAGAGAATACTTCATGAAGACTTAGCAATATAATAAGTATGCTTTTTTAATAAAAAAAATGCATAATTATGAATCAAATGTTCAGTATTCAAAGTAGGCACTGCTTAATTCTGCTATAAAAGTACAGTATCTGTATAACTTCTGAAATCCTGTATGATAGTTAGCTTCATATTCTATCTTTTTGATGTAAATAAGTTTTTCAGATGCACAAACTTCTTAATTTTACAGAATAGTAAATCCTTTTTAGAATCCCCAAACAAATTTAATTTCACAATATGAAGCCAAGTGAATAGAGATGGTTTTATGGGTATTTTTTACTCTAAAAATTCAATGGAATGGTTCTATTCATTAATGCCCTATGTTTCCCTGAAAAATTCTTTTAACTATGTAAGCATGAGACTAGAATAATGGCCTTGTATTATAATTTAAAAGAATACTCACTTAAATCTTTTACATTACTTCATTTTTCAATACACTCTCTTGATATACTATGCAAGAAGTTCTTTCCATTGTGCAGTGATACTGAAGAGTTCATAAATCTATTATATCTAATAATCCTTTACACATGAAACACTGAACAAAAAATTTTGAAACCTTGATTTTGATGAAGATTACTTTCAATTCAAACTCTTTTTAATAATATATATAAATTCAATGATAGAAGAACAATGAAATGAAAAATAAAATTACAAAATTCCCAATCAAGTCCAATGCTCATATTAATTAAAAAATGCATAAAGTTCCATATTTTTCAAAATTATTATAATATCCAAAAAATATGTATAAAAATATTAGAAAAATTGAGTTAGTTTTTAAGCAACTTCTTAAAAGTGTTTTTAATGATAATTCTAATTTTTTTAATATATTTTTTGGAAGGAGAAAAGTTGAGCTGCTATAAAATAATAATCAATAAAAGGAAAAAAGATAAAAAGACTTACGAACACAAGTCTTGTTTATTCTATACACATCATCATCTTTCAAACCAGTCTCACTTTGTGGTACATTAAAACCAGCAGTACCATTTTCAGTATATAAATCAAATCCAACATTACAAAGGCAATTGAAACTTCCTGGGCTGTTAATACATCTTTGATCGCAACCACCATTTTTTTCCATGCATTCATTGATATCTAAAAAAAGGCAGGAATAAGGTAGTAATAAATCTCTAATTAATAGTCAATTCATTTATCATATACACAGATAAACATGCATTTCACAGTTAATACTTACCAAGATAAATGCAATTTAATTTAAATACACAGATTTAAAACATTACAAAATACAGCTACAAAATTAATTTAGATGCAAATGAACATATTTTACAGAAATTCAACTTTTGGGTTGTTTATTCTCCTGTCAACAAAATTCCCAGTTCCACACTTAAGGACCCCGTTCTGGATATGCATTCTGGGGTATTTACAGGATTCTTTGCCAATGTGGCTTAATTTATATTGTTCAAACTAAGAGAGCCTTAACATTTTGTGTTAAAAGGCATGAGGCATATGTTAAGGAAAAGGAAATACAGAAATCCTCTGTTGCCCAGCACTGCTGGTCCGAAAATCACAATTTCCATTTTTCTGCAGTCAAAATTATTCAAAAAACTTCTTCCGTTGTTGAATTAGATTTTCTAGAGGTGTTTCACATTAAAAAAAATCTTTCTGTTCTAGTTAACAACCCTAATTCTAATTCATCTTTACCTTCAGAGTTCAAGGAAATTATGTTTTAATTTTCTTGCTTCGTCAATAGATGGCGCCAATCTCATTCGTTTGCACTTTACCACTTTACCAGCAAATGGCTTTACCAGTTTTGATGGTTTTATCAAAACTAGTCGCTGAAAATTTGCAAACATAATGTTGATTTTTGTTGTTTGAATTCTAAATTAATCCTTGTTCAGTGTGTTATTTTAACCTAAATTATAGCTACAAAATGTTATGCTAATCAGAGTGACAATTTTCAACGATGTTATGTAGAGTTTAGTGAGCTCATGTGAAACACTGAAAAGCTGCAAATATTTATTGAATGTGTGCTTTGATATATGCCAAATAATATTTTAGTGAAAGGTTAATGCAAAAAATATAGGATCTTTAATGTCCAGCAAAATTTTAATTGAATTATAAACTACTTTTACAAGCTTAATTTCATGAAATTATGTATGCAGTATTCTAATATATTTAAAATATCCGGAAGTAATCTAAATATTAGGTAAATTAAATAAAAAACAGAAAAATTGATAAAGGATAAAATGCAACTTGTGTTGCAAGTAACATTCATACCTTAACAGACTATTTAAGAATGGAGGGGGAAAATTCTCATTACAATATTATTAAGAAATCTCATTTGAAATCAGTTTAATATTTATCAAATAAAAATCTTAGAATTGCCTGGTATTCACATAATAAAATATTAATTTAGGTAATTAAACTTACCTAAATTAATATATCATCATATGTAAAAGTCATATGATTGGATTAATCTAGAAATGACACAGTCCAGAAAAAGTTATTACTATTTTTAGAATAGAGATTTGAAGTACCAAAATTTATATTTGCACATTTTTTGTTTTGCATATGTAAAGAGATGATTTGGGATTAGCTGCAATGGACTGGTGACTGTTCTTTGAGCTGTAAGAACTTGGAAAGGCTTTACTGCGTAGTCAGAATGCTGACAAAAACAGACATGGCCACAATTTCAACGCATAATTATATTTCTTGATAACTAATTTTTAAGGCACACATTTCTCTTTACATGTCATCATTATGGATACGATATGCACTCACAATTTTACATAACATTTATTTAGACAATAGACAGCAGTAGCAAGCAGGATAGAAAAAAGGGGTACGCATCAGCAAAGCTTGAGATATATAGCAAAAAATTTCTTTAATGTGATTGGATAACAGTCACCCCATCACAACAGGATTACATAACTAAGCATGAAATGGATAAATTTTGAAGGATGACGTCCAGGAAAAATTTAATATAAAAAAATTATCCTTTTAGAAAGGGAAATATACAAATTACAATGAAGAGTTACAGGGATAATGATAATTTAAGCTACCATTTTGAGTCATATATTTTATATCTTACACACACACACACACTTATATATACATATACCAGTTATGCACACATAATACAGTATCATATGCATTTAAAGAAAATTTATTACAGAAACTACATTTTATCTTATGACAAATTTGGCATTATGTGGAAGTTATTTTAGGTTTATGACAGTTATTTTAATTTTTAAACATGCTTTTACTGTCTATTTTTGTTTCCCACCTACTATTCCCTACCAGAATAAGTTTTTAGTATTGCGTTGCATGTAAATAAAGTAGAAAAAGTATTTAAAGGAAGGTTTAGGTTACTTCAGCAGAAGAGCTTAGGAGTCCTTAGAGAAGCATGTTTGCTATCAGGCTACTTGTTTAAAGCTAACTATGGTTGGCCCTATTGAACATGCCTGCTGATATTCACCAGTTAATTTAATTAAGGGCCAACTATGTTAGATAACTGTATGCAGCTTTATATTAGTTTAGCATTATATTAGTTTCTTATCTTCAGTTAAATCCCAAGTGGAGGCTTTCCTGTAAGCCCAAGAAAGGGGCATATGTGTTCATAATTTGAGATAATAAAGAGCAAGTTTAACACTTCTCTGGACTTTTCATTCATGCACTTGGATCAGCAATAAGTCACTTCATAGTTAAACATGGTTTCTACTAATTTAGGCATAAAAAAGTACTTAGAAACATTACAATGTAAACCAAAAAGTCATAAGTATAATCTTGTACATTAGGATAATATTTTTCTACACAAAAGTAATGCAAAAAAAAAAAAAAAAATGGCTACATACCAACACAATCTTGTCTTGAGCAACCCATGAGTTCTAATTTCAAGCATGGGGCAACGACATATTCCATTATTACAATTCTGACATATCGTGCTTCAAGTGGCTGTTGGAGGGTGACCACTGATAGTCCTGTCCTACCATCAGGAGTTGGTCTGAATTGAATGGGCTGGAATACAATTAATAGAAATAAAATCATTCATTGAAAAAAATCATTTAAAATTAAAAAAGATGATTATGAAAATTAACTACATTTCAAACTATTATGGCTGATTTAAATTAAAATATACACAATATAGCTACTAAATTTCAGAACTTTTTTTTTTTTTTTTTTTTTTTTTTTTTTCAATTGGTCTCAGTAGATCTATCAAATTATTAGTGGCAATAATTACCAATAATTTCTTCCTCTAAATTAACTTTTCCTTATAAAAAGGAGTTTAAATGGAATTTTTTGATTGAATTTAAATAGCCAGTATGCATTTGTTATAAATTCAAAAAATGAGAAATAAAAGTTAAAGATATGATTAAAACAGTAAAGTATAACCCCAAAACTGTTTTAACAAATCAGCATTAGAGATCAAAATTGGTGTTTTATTTATAATCCAAAGGCAAATCAAATCCTGTTTATAATGTGAAAAGAAAATTCACCTCAGCCAAAGAAATTTCATTTTTAGAAATTTAATAAAAATCATTTTGGTGATTTTACCCTCAATCTGTGGGAAGAAATTTTACAAAGGATTTTTGAAGGAAAAACCAACAAACTCAACTAACAGATTATACATTAACACAATTTTATAAAGAACTAAAAAATCTGACTTCCAAAAAGAATTCATGCTTGATTTAAAATAAATAAATAAAGGCTTGTCAATAAACTTTTTTTTTTTTTTTTTTTGGTTTCCTTTTTTGCCCAATATAATTATTAAACTTGAAAAAAGATTTTATTTTAATATCTGTATTAATATATTTGTATATTATCTAGTTAGTATATTATCAGATAGTTTGTATATTATAAGACAGACGTGTATTTATATATTATATTATCAGATAATGTGATTTTTTTTTGTTTGCAGTCATTCAAGTTCCATTACCAGAAAAATGCACACATAAAGATAGTATGCATTATCAAAACTAAAATAATTATGCAGCTTATCTATACTAGGTTATTGATATTGCTAAATATTTTTAAAGTTTACACTGAATTTAGACTGTAAAACATTTTAGTAATTCAAGTTACTGTATTATACTTTCAAAAAACTTTTCAATTAAATAGTTAACAAATTTCAATTAAAAATTTCCCCACTAAGACATAACAAGAACTTTGCATCAAGTTAAAATAGAAATAAAGAGATTAGTAAATTTGTAGGTATTCAAATTAAATGCTCCAATGTTCTTTTAGAATAAACTAGTAATTTCTAATCTTTCAATTCCACTTGAAATTCATGAAGCATATTGTTTAAAATTGGAAAACATAATTTCTCAAAATTTTCAATATTCTTTACGTTAAACAATTTGAAGGTTAAATTTTTCAATGATAATCTCATTCTTGATAATATCCTATTCTGAACATCACATTAAACAATGGTGATTTACATATGTAAAATAACACGGGAGCAAATGAGGTTTAAGAAGAAACCAGGATTACACTTTGTTTGCACTTGCTGAACTTCATAAATTAAAAATTTTCCCTTAATATTCTTATGAATTAAAAAAATCTAGGTAATATGTTAACAGTATCATACAAATTAAATTACCTAAATTAAGATAATGCATCAAAGAAACCCAGTTCCACAAATCTGCATTTTGCAAAGGCTTGCCAATCATGAACTGTTACTGATTATGAACATCAAGAGATATACAATCAGAAAATTAACAAATCAGAGAAATTCTATTCCACTGTTTGATAGTAATTTCTTCATAATTCTCAATGAAAGAGAATAAATAAAATTCATTAGTTCCTTGTAATAATTTTTTAAGGTATTACAAATATTGCTTAATATATCACTTCATTCCACGAATCACAGAAAAACACTCATTGCATCAGCAATATTAAGTTTAAATACAGTAGTTTTGAAATTTCAAATAATTTAATATTTATGACTAATAGTTTGTGACACTTCATTTTTAGAGACCAAATTATTCTCATATCCAAAGCACTTCAATTGTATAATTTCATTTGAAAAATATATTTGAATTTGGGAAACTATATCAGGTGAGAGGTACACTGGTTGATAAAAATGATCATTCTGATTTACAGGTGAACGTAGTAGTTTAGACATGAAGTACCTATTAAGGACTATTTGATGACCTACAATTTAAGAAAATGCCTTCAAAATGCGGAAATGGAAGTTTTAGAAGTTTACTAAATTAGAATAAAATATTCATCAATCTGATGTTTTTTGCTTGAATTTTAAAGAAAAGGTGAACAAATTTTTAAATCAAGAAAATTATTGAATTTAGTCTCAATTCATCAGAATCTGCTCATATACTTAATTTCTACTAGAAAAATTTTTCTGCTATCTAATGAGTAGTAATAAGTTACGTATTGACAACCAAAATACAGTTAAATAAACTGAGCTATTATTTGCCATTTAGAGTTTAATCTCATGCTTGAATTTAAATTAATCTGAAGACATAATCCAGAGTAAAGGGTTGTTAGAAAATGCCCAGCTGAGGTAAAATAGCTTCCCTGTAAAAGCGGTTTAGGTTTGCCAGAAAACGGCAAGAAGAGGCATGGTTGCCTGGTTTGGCACAAAATCGTCCATTTGGGGACATTTGGCGACATGCCATAGACGGAGCAAGAACATTCTTACTGGTTTACTCCAGAATATTCTAAGGCAGGTCAAAAGCTATACAAACCTGCCCATACGCAGAATAGCTGTGTAACATGTATTTTATCGTAAAGAGTATCTTGGGTGTGTTGAGCTCCAAGAATCATCGATCTAGTTGGAAGCTGTATTTAGTATTTCGCCGTAAAGCTGTCTTTACCATTATAGCTCGACAGCAACAAGGCTGTGTTGCTGATTGTTTCAGCGTTTTTATCATAGTTTTCCGATGATCGTAAACGTGTCTTAGGAACTCTCCTGTGAAACACTGGTGAATAGATTGTGTTTTGATTCTTTGCCAAATATTGTCGTCAATCACTCCAAATCCCCGAACCCACAGAATGCAACAAGGCAAATGAATTAGCAAACTGAGCACTCTTTATAAATTAACATCACATGGATAGTCTATTAGATATTATGTGGAATATAGTGGTTTATGAAAGTTAGCAAGTACAAATGTAACAAATGCTTAAATAGACGACTTAATTGATCAAATAAAAAAACTATATATGAGCTTATGCGATATCGGTTTTCACAGAATTGTTTTTAAAAAATGAAATCTAAAAAGTTAAAATAATAAAATGAATAAAAAATTTAAAAATGAGGAATAAAAAAAATTAAGGAAAATAATATTATACTCACCCTTCCAGATGAATCGCTATAAACTTTAAATGCATCTGTGAGATCATCCGTGAAATGTATTCTCAAACTGATGGGATAGGCCATAGATCCATCTGATCGAATAACAGACTGAATTCGAAATCCCCTTATAACTGTTGGTGCACGGAGGTCAATTTGTACCCAGTTATGACCAGGTCTAGGGACATTTCCGCACCATCCGATACCACTATCAAGTCTCACCATCTGAGAATAAAAATGAAAGGGAGAATACATACATTTCTTTCTCCTTCCTTGGTTAAAATGAATATGTTAATTTAATTCACTAATACACATGGAAATAAAAAATTTCTCACGTGAATTTTAAATAATGTCTGAAAGGGGTAATTTATTATTGTAATTATTTAACCAGTATAAAGTATTTGCAGAAGAATATAGTTTTTGTGTCATTTGAGCATTTTTATCAAAACTTGAATCCATTAAAATTCCTTAAACAGAATTTGTGTAGTTTATATTTTAGGGTACCTCTTGGATTATCGCTAAGTTTTTGTTTCATTTATCCAAAAGTTGTTTTATTTATGGTAACCTGAGTATTTTACGCTGAATGTTTCGGAAAACCTCTTATGATGTGATTGGTTGTAATGTGTCATTGTGGTGGTTTTGATTTGTTGAGAAAATATTTTTCAGGGCTTATTTCTGCATTAGATGTCGGTTAGGAAGTACAGTAAGACCCCGCTTAACGCTGTTTCATTTAGCGCTGTTTCGGTTTAGCGCTCTTTTATTTCAACCCGGGGATTCCCCGAAATATTATGCAGCGATAGGTTTCAAATACATATCCAAGAGTGTACTTGTATTTCTTGTTTGGTGCGGTATTGTACAGACATATTTTGAAGGGGTAAATGTGGAAGATGTCGAAGAAATAATTCAAGAAGCAGCGGCTAGTCTTTCTAATGATGAGCTCAAGGAATTAACTGAACAAGAAGAAAACAAAAATGTTGACAGCAGTGATTCAGAAGAAGAGCAAAAAGAACTTTCGATGGCGTTTGTAAAAAGGAGTTTGTCTACCATAACTGAAATAATGGATCAATTCATTGAAAATGATCCGAATTTTGACAGGAGCTCAAAAGTAAAGCGTGGTGTTAGAGATGCTTCTATCCGTTTATGAAGAACTTTTAAGAGAACAACGCAAAAGAAAAAGGCAAACAACATTAGATGCTTTTGTCAACAAAAAGGCAGAAACCTGAAAACGCGGAAGGCTAACTAAATATGACTGACTGAGAAATTTATTTGTTTTTTTTTTTTAAGAATATTCGTTTTGTTATTTATATTTTGGTTTTTTTATTTTGCAAGAAATAATAATGTGGTATTAATTTGGGCTTTAAGAAATAAATGTTTGGTTTTATTTTTATTTAAAAAACATACTTTTTAAATTTAATACCTAACCAATTTCCTAGCCATCTTCCCCTAACCCCAATATTTACATGTAAAGATAGCCTTGTTAGCGCTGTTTCGCATTACGCTCTACTTTGATGGAACGTATCCCCCGTGTTAAGCGGGGTCTTACTATACATTGCTTATTTTGTGCTTTACACCTTAAAATAACTGCCGGTGGTAAGATTAACCTGAAGTTTCTGTAAGATTTGGAAGGAATAAGAAAGAAAACATTGATTGACTGGTGTGTAAATGAAGATTTAAATGGCTTCATTTACCTCTCAGTAAATTATGCAATGACATTTAAGAATTTTGAAACTGGAGGTCATATCAACAATGTGGAAGGTATGTTAGGTGTAACAAAAGAAAATTTTCGAAAGAAATGCCACCAGCAGTATGAAGGATATTTTTGATTTTTACATTTGTGAATTTGTGTGGCAATGGCAGTACACAGGTTCTAGTTCAGATAATTTTAAATAGTTTTTTTAATGCTGTTAAGGAATTTTATGTGCCACAGATAGAGAAACTTATAAATAAGGTAAGTTGATATTTCCTTTTTGTACTGCGCTGATTAGAGAACATGCATTTCCATTTTTGTATTAATTCCTTGTTTTATTTTGATTTAAAATGAAGTTTATTGAAATTATAATTTTTTTATGATTTAATTATGTTTTGGATGCTATTTTATTTGGGAAGGCATTACACATAAACAGGAATGGCACCAAAAGAATCACCGATTTTCCCAAGAGGTACACTGAAAGATATTTTTCCCCAGAATTTATTAAATATTCTTATTCACAAAAGAAATTTACAAAATAATGCATAATTGATATTAAATGTATGCACATGAAATAAGACAGCTTTTTTAAATTTAATGTAATTTTTACCAGATTTGAAATATTCTGAAGTTAGTATAAAATAGCTTAAGAATCACAGTTAATGTTGTTTAAATATACTTCAATCTGACTCCCTTCTGCAAATATATAACTCAATACTGAAAACCTCAGAATAATCTTTAAGCAGTTAGAATAAACTTTAGAATGCAATTACATGATATACACAAAAATTTAAAAAATGGAAATCAAGTATAATAGATAATTAAATCTGAAACATGCATAAAGATACTGGGAGATAAAGTAGTTAATAAAGATCTAAATTTGCTTATTTAAGCAAAAAGGAAATTTTTAATAAATAATACTCTAGACATCATTAGGTAAAAATAGGGACATTATTTTCTGTTAATTATTATACAATATGCATTATTATCATTAATTGTCTAATTATATTATTAGACAAAAACAAAAATGTGCGAGTTTCTTCCAAAAAGGTCATAAGTTTTCTTTTACTCTGAGCATCAATTTGAGGATAATTGTGAGGGATATTGTGCAGATAACTCATAAAATGGATAATCAGGAGTCAAGTCTATTTTATTTTTCTTATGTTATACAGAAAGGATGTCAAAAAGAAAAAAGTACAGCTAATAGATGGAAAGCTTCTGAGCTTGAACTTAGTTCAAACTTGAATTTAGGCCTATTCGATTAAAAAGAGTGTATAACTGGTGACTAAAGAATGAATCAAAAGTAACCTAATCTTAGATTATTAATATTAAATGAAAAGGAAAGCTCTGAAACTTTATCAAAAACTTTAATGTCTAAGAAATGTTCTTACATTTTTTCCATAACCAGCTTCTACTCCAGAAACTTTGATATTTGTATCGGGTATAATGCCAGAACTAAGTCCTAAATCTCCAACTGGTCTACAGTCTGAAACAATACCCAAATGATATTAAATAAATAATTTTATGACAAAATGAAAAATTTTTGTGTTATAAATTATACTTATTAAAAATTACCAAAATTTGGCTCAAAACCCTCCTTGCATTTGCAGAAAAATCCTCCAGCAGTGTTTGTACACACAGTTGATGCAGCATCACAAGTTGAAGCAGAACATTCATTGACATCTAAAATTATCAAACATTAAAGTAATATTTTAAAATTATATTTTATTAATTGAATTGACAATTTAAATAAGTGAATAAGAATGGCTGACTGATTAGTTAATTTTTAATCTAATGATATATAGCTTACAATGTAATTCATTTTATTTTATTTAGATTTATTTTACATTTTCTCCCATGAACTACAAATAATGAGTAAAGAAAATAGTGAAAGTTTGCTTTAGGAATACATTCCCTTTTTAAAAAAATATATGATTTATTCAACTACTCATAGTTACCTATACAAGATGGAACATTAGTAAAATTTTGATCTGGACCACATGTTATGACTGGGCTGCCTTCAAGTCTATAACCTCGGTGACACTGAATTTTAGCAATATCACCAAATAAAAAGTTCTTTTGGGGTTCAACAACAAATCCATTTTCAATTTCAGGAAGAATTGGGCACTGTGCTCCTGAAAAATTAAAAAGCAAGATATTAAAAAATTTTCATTTCTTAAAAACTAGTAGTTTTCTGCAATGTTTTCAGACAGCTGAAAAAGCTATTCCCAGAATTATGTCAAAAACATTACAACATAATTCTGTAATATTTCTTTACAAACATGCGTTCTTTTAAACATGCAAGACCTGTGAAACAGTCACAGGTCTCGCATGTTTAGCTTGCAGTTGTTATAGACTTTTACTTGCATAAATATCTTCCTTATAATGCAGAAAAAAAATTTATTGGGTTTTAATGAAACTTTCCTGCCACTGCAAATACCGTCTGATACAAAAAGGTAGCATTTCACTAAGATATTGCAAGACCACATATGTCTGCATTCACCAGCTGGACACTGAACAGATTCGAATGGGATCTTTTGCCACACCTACCATATATAGTAATTCTCACTGCACATGGAAGGTTCCTTGCTTACTTAAAAAGGTTCCACCTCCAGGGAAATGATATATGTAAAGTTTGTAATAAATTCGGCGATTTAAAGCATTTCATTGAGAACTGTTGCTTGACTGGAAGTCGAGAGAAAAACATAAATTTGCGAAGTTTGAGGATTTATTTAGTAACTATAAATTGTTTAAAAAATTTGCAAGAGATATTATGCAAACTGTGAATGAGAATAAGAAGAATATTGGTATCGAGATATAACAAAGCAGAAAATCATACTGAAAACAGAAATAATTGAGGTAACTTATAAATTTAAGATGAATTTTGATAATACAGTCGAAAGTCCTTAATCCGGACTCGTCGGGACTTCGGCGATTCCGGATTATCGGTTTTTCCAGATTATAGATCATCAGTTTAAATCTGGTACAATGGCACGCAGAAATTATAAAATTAAAAATATGAAACTGTAATTTATGAAATAAAGAGCAAATATGATCTACAGGGTATCAAAATTTACAAAAAAAGGGCTTAATATTTATTTGTTTACTTTATTAAACATAGTTTTCAACGCGCGCATGCCTAAAGCATACATTACGCATAGTCGAAATTAGAACATTGCAACCAGAAAACTATTTGATGTGTATTCGTGATATTTATAATGACGAGGAATTTGATTTAAATCATATCAAAGACGGACTACATTGAAATCAAAATACTACATTTAGTAAGGAATTATAAGCCGAAATAAAATAAAAACATCTGCCCTGAAGATAAGGATAAGCGCTGACAGATCAACTTCCAGTTCATTGCGCGCCGCGACGTCCCCCTTCCCCCGCAGAGCAGCATGAAATTGATAAACAGATTTCGGAATACAATCTTCGGATTCGGTTAGAGAAACGAAAGGATATGCCTTTAGCCATTTTTTGCAGCAATTCCACTTTTTGTTTGATGTACATCGAAACATGCTTTCGCTTTGTAGATCCTTTGGCAGCTCCAGAATCGGAAATTCTTTTTGACATAATCGAAAGTTCAAGCTTACTTTTACAAAATTGCTCTAACAGTCTACAAAAAATAATAAGCCGGATCCAATTAGAAGATTAAGGAACAATGCAATCTGCAATATTAACTGAAATAGATAATTAGATAATTTTTAGCTTAGCTTATACCATCTGTTATACATTAAACGCGCATGCGTAAACGTATTATGTGCATGCATAAAGGTATTATAAAAAATAAATAAATAATGACAAAATAATTAATAGCACTTATGAAACAACTACAAAATTTAATAGATCAAATTTTAGATGTTCCAAAAATAACATGAGTGATTAGAAAACGAAATTTTCATGTCATTGTTTACATGTTACTGTAAAGAATAACTAAGGGGTATTGAGATAGAAATTAGGAATTATTGATGAATAAAATAGATTGAGAAATGGATGTTAAGTTACTATAATGGACTATGTTGTTAATAGTAAAAAAAAAAAAAAAAAATTCCAATTTGGTCCACCTTAACACCTGAAAACTCATGTAAACTTGTATCTCTACAGAGTGAAACATAAGGGATGGGAAGATTTTTTTTTTAAAGTAATAAAAAATATTAGCTTGCACTAAATTTAAAAAAAAGGGTGGAAGAAAAAAAAGGTTTGGTCTATGTGATTGCACCAAAGCCTTGAGGGGAGGGATGCCTTCCTGGAGGACATTCTAAGGTAAACCAGCTCGTATGCATATTACACATGGGGAAAACGACGAAAACACCCATGCAACCTGTTCACGGGATTCGAACCTCAGACCGAACTATCAGTGTTCAGCGACTTTACCTTTCGCCACTGGTGTGCCCAAAAGAAAGGAAAGAATTTTTTATTTAAATATTTACTGATTTACTACTGTAAGTAAACTAAACAGGAATTATAAAGATCCCAAATTCTTTGAATCATGGTTGAAATGCAATTCAGCAGGAACAATATATCATATGAACAGTTATAACTCTTAAGTTTTAAGACTGACAAATAACACTGTCTCTAGGACACTTCTATAAATGTATAATACGCTTACATTTCTCTTCATACAAAGAAGATATTTTCAGATAAAAAACATACTAAATTCGCAGCTACTGCTTGCTTTGTGACACACTGAAACAACCGCTAGTCTTTTCTGCTATCTGGAAATCTAGTATTACCTCTAAAAACAGCATCACCATGTGATAAGTCACACAGAAAAGTATTTATTTCTCTGTTTACTAATTTGATGATTAATACAGGGTGCACATTTTGAAATTATTATAAGCTTAATTATTTCACTATTATAAAATTCCTTATATTGCCAAATTAAAATTTTCACAAAGAAATGAAACTTAATTCAAAAAGTATTTCAGTTTTCTCTATCTCTTTCTCACTCACCTTTCTTTCCTTTTTTAATTTTTTTAACACAAAAGATATAAATAGGAAAGTTTTAAAAAATTATAAAAAAATACTTTATCATTTTAGAATTTTAAAAAAATGAAATATATAAACAATTTAAATCTACAGAAATATATACACTATGCAGCAAAATTTATCATTTAACACTACAAACTTATTACAGTCAAAAGTCGTTAATTCGGACACCCATAATCCGGACCTCAAAGCTAAAAACTTTCTGCGCATGCGCCACGTTGATGCATACGCATAGGCGTTAACGCGTGTGCGTAAGACCTTTTACGTCTGCGCATATGCGTGTGCGCAAGTGCAGAATACGTTTTCGTGTGCACGTTTTATGTATAACGGAAGGAATAAGCTAAAATTATCTAATTATCTATTTCAGTTAATGTTGATGATTGCGTTGTTCCTTAATTTTCGAATTGGATCCGGCTTATTATTTTTTGCAGACTGTAAGAGCAATACTATAAAAATAAACTTGAACTTTCGATTATATCAAATGGAATTTGCGATGCTGGAGCTCCCAAACGATCTACAAAACAAAAGTATGTTTCGATGTCCATCAAACAAAAAGTGGAATTGCTGCAAAAAATGGATAAAGACATGAAGAAAGTGACAGAGAGGTTAGTGAAAACGAAAAAATTTCGATTGACAAGTTAGTCGGTATTCTCGGCACAGCAATTACGGGACTTGAACAGCGGGACTTTGTAACTGAACAAGAAATTATGTCTTTTTATAGAATTAAAGAGAAAGTATTATCACATAAAACGAAGCAACTTAAACAACTTACATTGAAAGAAATGTTTAATAAAGTAAACAAATAAATATTAAGCTTTTTTTTTTTTTTTTTTTTTTTTTTTTTTTTTTTTTTTGTAAATTTTGATACCCTTTAGATCATAATTGTTCTTTATTTCATAAATTATGGTTTCATATTTTTAATTTTAGAATTTCTGCATGCCATCTTATGAGATTTAAATTGATGATCTATAATCCGGAAAAATCGATAATCCGGAATCGCCGAAGTCCCGACAAGTCCGGATTAATAATGACACAGCTTTCAGTTTTAATGATCTGAAATTTGATTTGACAGATTTTGAAATAAGATAACGTTCTGGACAATAATTTTTATCTCCAAAAGAGTTCAATGACACATATAATTAGCAGCTTTTACAGAATAAATTAATGTAAATTAGAAGTGGGTAATAAAATTTTAGAGAATACACACAGCAAATGAGTTTAAAAAGCATTTGCTCTAAAAAAAAAATAAAATATAAGTAAACCTTTAATTTGGATTAAAGCGGAGGATTAGTACTTAACTTCAAAAATTGAATATTGCAGTCAACTATTTGTTACCTATCACAGCAATTTAATTACAATAAACTATATAAACAATTTCCATTTTTTTGCTGTTTTTACATGCAGAGATACAGTAGATATTAAAGATAACTTGCGGCTCTATCTTAGCAAAATAACTTATCCAATCATGGCTATATAGAACAAATACATACAACCCTGTAACGGTGTTTTTTTTTTTTTTTTTTTTTTTTTTTTTTTTCTGTTGTTTTTATCAACACATGCAATTTATGCATACAAAATTAAATAAACAAGAAACAAAATCTGAAAGTTTTCAGGTTTTATATTACGTTCAAAGGGCTTTCCCCCCCCCCACACACACACACACTTTGTGCATTACCTTTATTTATCAAATATCACGTTCTTCACATTCAAACCATAAAATTCAAATCAACAGCTATATTACAAAATAATTTTAAAAGAGCATATCTATAGAATTTCTGATAAACAGGCTTGCACGCTGGAGATAAAAATGTTTTATTTTTCCTGTACAGTGTTGCCATTGTTATGTTAATAAAAAATTTGTTAAAGTTTTACAAAATATGAAATAGATAATAAAACAAATTCCAAATTAGGGCTTCCATATGCCCGCATTTGAGGATTACCTTATTCACAATTTGCTGGCTATTGTTTATCACAATGCGAGAAACATACATACATTTATGCAGATTCTTCATCATTTAATTTCTTTTAATATAACACAGAGCGATAACATTTGGTGGCAACAATTTAAAAATTTGAAAGTTTTCAATGTAAAATGCCAAAATGAAATTAATAGCCCTCCTGGGCTAACAAATATAGCATATGTATTTTACAATTTATCCACATTGTCAAAAAGAAACTAAGTATATTTAAATAACACATAAATTAGCTACATATATATTATCAAAGGATAAGTGAAGCATAAAAAGTAAAAAAACACTGCAATGCTGGAAAACATGCAATGAAAAAAATACCATTTGTTTTGAGCTGTTAAAAAAATATCAGTAGTTAAACTAAGATTTTATAAAAATAACTGCTACAAATACTTATGTTTACGTACTTTCGCACTGAGGAGGAGGTGTAGACCATTGTCCATCACTCATACACAATATAACAGGAGCACCAATTCTGAAGTAACCAGGTTCGCATTCAAATCGAATAACCGTTCCATAGCTTCTACCGCCACCATTCAATACAACTTGAGTCGCATGAGGAGTTTCAGTGAGTGGGGGGCAAGAGGATGCTAGACAAACAGGCAATTTCTCCCAGCGTCCATCTTCTGAACAGCGAATAGCTTCAGTTGGTAAACCACTCGGGAAGGCGAATCCAGCATAGCACTGATAAGTAGCAACTCCTCGATAGGTAACATTAGTTGCAGCAACTGCAAAGCCATTGTCAATCTGAGGAACTGGACCACAATAACGTTCTAGAAAGAGAGAAGAAATAGTTCTTTTAAAAATCATCATTAAAATAAAATGAAAGAAAATTCTTACTTTAATCTTACAAAATATTTTAAACATATGAATTTTTATTATTAAGAAAAATTGCTGTAGTCACTGATGATGAATATATAATACTAGAAATTTTTTGCAAGATAACCACAATACAATTTCAATGTTAAAAAACACTAAGAATTTTATTCAAAAATAAATCAACTACCGAATCAGTTATCAAACTTAATGATAGATTTTTTTTTTTCAGAAATGCTATCCGATTTGAATAACATTTGGATATTAAAAAAAAAAAAAATCTGATGTAGACACCACATGACTTCCATGTACAGCCTACTAAATTATACACATTTTTTGGTGCACTTCATTTAAACTTATATCTTCGACCTTTTCTAACTTAATCAACCAATCTCTTGGGCAAGCTTAAAATGGCATCAAAAAATGCAATCTTTAATTCTGAAATTAAATATCCTGATCAAGTTTTGTCATATGGAAGTCAAACTTCTTAAAATTTTATTTTTTCATAACGAATATAAAATTTCCCCAAATATAAATATAGGAAAAGGAATTAAAAGTTAGCATTAAAAGTGAGATTTTGTTACTTAACCATTTTTTATTTTTTTAAATCTGACATTGCCAAAATATGAATATTTTCATCATTTAAAACACTTCGGTAGTTGGAAGTGTAGTATGACTATGACCAACGATGACAGAAATAAATGTCAGGTAAGAACTTTTAATTCATATTAGCCAGGTATCATCAAAGCATGCATATGCCATACTTTGCAAGTTAGAAATTTATACACATTTGAGGAATTAAACATTATAGGAGTTTTTAAACTTCATACATCAGACACGAAAAAGGTTTCTGACGAAAACATTAAATTCCTTTAAATATATTCATGACATTATTGCTATTGTATGTATTATTTTTGCAATCCAATTTTCTAGCATAATTTCAGCAAAAAGGAAAATTAAAAATTTTAATATACTGTCCATATTTCAATCCCCCTGGGGGTTTGACTGAGGGGCCAACTCCCAGTGTTCTGGTTAGGACCTGTATTTAGACAGATTTGACTTCTGGTGTAAATAATCAGTCTCCAAAGTTACTAGAACCATCGTTTATTTGGTGGTAGGTTCAGGTTCGGAAGGGACCACACATGATACTGTCTTGTCTGCCTTTTGGTCATGGGGACACTACATACTTTGATATCAAAGGCTGTCTTTGGGGGTTTGTTTCCTCTTAGTCAACACCGAGGGATGGTTGATGACTTTATTATGACTATGTTCTCTTTGTTGGTGGAAAAGCTTCCATCCACTATCAACTTGTGTTACTTTGTCCCAGACTGCATGAATCAAAATCCCCTTGGATGACCAGGGGATATGCCTTCTTGGACATCCTCTACGGGTTAGGGTATGTAACTGTATTATTTCTCTTATAAGCTGAGTCTGGGTGCCCCCTTCCTCTTAGTGAACTGTCCATATTTCAAGAAAAATCAAATTGTAATTAAAAACTCAAATAAAAATTCCTGCAGGAAAATTCTATATATTTAATATGTTTAAGTGAAAAATGAACCCAGACTGAAGAAATAAACAATAAAGTTCAAAATTAATAAAAATTTAATAGTTAGACAGCAAAAACTCAACTAGACTGTTGGAGTACAAGACATTAATTTATTAAATATGAAATGTAGAGTTTATTTACACCATTTTAATATTAGAAAAAAATATCAAAAGATTAAACTTCCAAGTCAAAATATTACACATAAATAAATATATTAATATATTCCAGATATTGCAGTCTTATCATTATATACATGTACAAATATAAAATAATAATCAATTTATAAAAAAATGTACCAAGATTGATAGTTTTAGTTTAAATTGAGAAATTTTCTTGCATTTGGTTTAATTTCAGAACAGTTATTATTTTTTTTTTCCAATGGCAGATTATAAACTTTTAAAAATGTAACCCAGTCCATTAATCTATATAAGGTCGGATGTGGTGGTCTCTTTATTATGGAGGCATCAAATTAGGTGGTCCACCATCGCTTTTCCAATGAAGGGACAGACAGGTACAACCACGCCTTCTCCGGGATTTGAACCCAGGCCCTTCGGCATCACAGTCAGCTTCCCTGACCACTATACCAATTGGGAGGCTCAGAACAGTTATTTAATCTAGCTTTTAGAGAATATGAAAGAAAGCCATTTTCAGAGATGAACCTAAGAGTAATATTAAAATTTTATTTGGTACTTTCTGGTTATCCATAACCCCCCTGTTTCAACTTTCAGTAGAATTGCACTTTTGGGTTTACTTTTAAGTACACATGCAACAATGAATAAACCACACATGTGCTGACCACATACATGTTTGAGTACGCACAGATTTACACTTTATATTTAACAGTCATTTTGTCAAAAAATATCTACTTGCTGTATAAATATAAATATTAATTAAATGGATTTTTCCCCCATAAAATTTACTGCTTCTTATAAAAATGCCTCTTTTTATTGTTATTTATGGATAGAACAGTACTTATAAGCTGTAAAGATAGCTAAATAACTATTCTCCACCAGTTCACATAATTGGCAATAAGTTGGAGACATTTTGTGGAGTAGCAGATAGTAAGAAAGTACCCCTTATTTTCTTCCCCTAATTTAGATTTTTGTTTCATTCAAGATGCTCGCTCTTTAAAGTTAGCTCTTTCTTTTAAATATTAAAAAATTAATTTTCAACAAAAATTCAATGTGCAATTCAATGTACATCTTTTTAATATTTCAACTGATTAAAAGTAAATACTGTTTTACATAAGTAAGGTATCACTTATAGAGTTCATAAGAACACATACCTTGACATCTAGGGATATGAGGAAGGCTCCACTGTCCACTTTGCATACATTCTATCTCAATTTCAGTAACACCAGTACTAAACTCCTGACCAGCAGGGCAAGAATACCTTATCTTTGCTCCAAATGTTCTTTCTCTGCTAGATGCTATAGCACCAGTACCGACAGATATTTGAGGGCAATCTAAAAAATATATAAATAATATGAGTTCAAAATTTTACAGAAGCCATTGGCAAGCAACGGTACCCTAAAAATATAAAGAATACTAATAAAAGTTTTGAAATACCTAAACAATAAAAAATTATATATAGCTAAAGTATGATAAAAATATAATACACATAAAAATATGTAACATACATACATTTGTTTTTATTTATTATTTAAATAGGTTAAAACAAAACTTAAATGAAAAAATCTCTACACCAACCTGCACTGAAACTAGCCCTCCAACCTTTCTCAATATTGACTGGATTACTAACAAACAGTACAAGAAGATTTCCACTGCTGGCAGTCATTGTGATAGACGGTTTTGATAATCCACTAAATCCACTTCCTGGATGGAGTGGTACACCACTTTCTCTGCTCACACCATCAAACACCTAAAACATTTTGTACTGTCAGATGTTTTAAATGATAAACTTATAAAACAATAACATACCTTTATTTTAGTTTCAGGAATAATACAAAAGTATAACTCCCTATAGATGAATTAAGCCAACAGTAAATTCCAGCACATTACTAATCAGAAATTAGTCAGTAATTTGAGAGAATTAAAATTAAGTAAATTTAATACATGAAGAATTTTAGGTAGATAAATTATTCTGATATAGGTTTGATAATCTGTAGTTTATATTGTTGTGAATTCCTACTCAAATTTAGAAAAGAAAGAAAGCATATTCGCAAAAAAATAAATAAAAAGCCAGTTTTGTTTATGGTAAGTTTTATTAATGAAACAGAATTACATCTGACAGATTAGGAGTTAGAGGATTGTCAGGTACTTAAAGAAATGAAACTATTGTAATGGGAACATACTAAATTCTAGCTTGCAAATTTATTTTGCGCATTTAAAAAATATATATGCATAATTTTTTAATCCAATGACAGGCACTTGCCTATTCAGCATTAGCCACTCCTAATGCCAGAAGTGGTAGCCATTTTATTGTGGAGGTACCTAAGAGGTGGCCACCATCGCCTCCTATGAAGGAATGGACAGTTACAAAAACGCCTTCTCCAGGATTTGAACCCGGGCCCTTTGGTAGTGCAGCATGTTCCCCTAACCACTATACCCTTTAGGAGGCACTTAAAAAATAAATAATGAGTTATTTACCTTTTGTGAATGCTAAATAACATAGTTTACACCAGGTGATTCAAATTAGAAAAGGCTTTTATTACATCACCTACAAACTTGGAATCTGAATTTGTTGCTCCAAACAAATGTAACTAATTTCAGTCCAAAGCAATTAATTGTGTCTTAGTTCTGCCATTTATTCGTGAATTTGTCACTGACAATACATAACTGTGTCTTTAACACACTTTTGCAAGAAACATATTTCTCATTTTTATTTTAAGTTTCATTAACAGTTGAGTTAAAATACAGTCCAGTTTTCTCTTTACATCACTTATATTTATCGAGACCAGAAGATTATGGATATGTGAAGCACATGAAAGAAGCTCGAATAAAAATGGCATGAAGAGCATTTTTACTGCAGGTTATTGTCAATCCAGCTAGCTGCTTTGGAAAGGAGGTCGCAATGGTCTTGGTGGCTGCATTGAATCTTATGCCATCTTAGGTCACACATCCAAGTATCTTGTTTTAAGAATGAGTAGTTTTTGCTCATTGTCCATCTTGCAAAACAGATCACCTGATTCTTAAATGTTTGGTATTTATCTTCGAAGTTTTACATTTTCTCTTCAGTCATAATCTGTGTCTAGCCCAAAATTTGTATAATTCTTATTTTAGACAGGGCAATAACTTGCTCACAGATTAAAGTAACTCATAGACTGTTAGGTTAACACACCTTAAACACCTAGTGTAGAATTACACAATGTCTGTAGAACACTGTACTGTGAGACTAGATGATTAAATTAAAATTATAATACAGAACTTTGCAAACTTCTAATAATTTGTACAGTCCAGAGAACAGATTTTTGAAAATAAAGATTCGAATTTTTATTTTGCTTACAATGAAACTTTTAAAATGTAATAATTAATAAAGATGGATTTAAATATGTTGTGGTTCATCTAAAAATACTCAATTATAATTTTATACAATCATACAATATTGCATACTGACTTAAAATTCTGACTGGATCATGTAAAAAATAAAATTACAGAAAATGTGCATCTTTAAATTCTTACCTGAACATAATCATCAGCAGCCACTTGAAAGTCATTAAATCTTAATGATACTGGTCCCCCACCAAGCAGACTGATTCGGTATGTACATATTTGATTAGGAGGGTATTTCGAAATTCCAAAAGCGGGAGATGACAAATTTCCGGCTAATGCAACTTCTTCAAGTTCACATCCTAGAATAAGGTTTCAATAGCAGATTAATGAAAAATTGTCAGATATTAAAAAGAACTTGCATTACTGTTTAATTCAGTATAAAATTTTCAGTAAATCATAGCTATACATTAAATGCAGCTTAGGAACTTCAAAATTCAATTCAAAGTAATATAAATTTACTTTGCATTTGAAGTATAAAACAAAATTAAATGCTATGAATATTGATTAAATGACATTAAAAATGCCCTTCATTAATTTTATACTATTAGACTGATGTATTTTGCTTAGAATTTCTTTAATTCTTTCTAGTTATGTTTTCCCATTAGTAAGCTGTATGCATAAAAATGCTCAAATATATATACAAATATACATAACAAGTAAAATTTAATAAGTAATTGTCAGCATGATTATTTTAACACACTGACTGCCACCTGCATTTTACGCAGTTTGCCCATGAATTTTTTATTATGTGATATATACTATGTTGAAATATTATCAACAGAAGATAAGGTAAGTTATAAAATCGTGTTTAATGCATTTTTTGTCGTGGTGGGGTTCATCGGTGACCCACGAGGTGCTGTAGACCATTTTTGTAATTTATTGTTCTTCAAACCATCTAGTAACAATTATTTATTATTTTTGAGATTACTTAAAAATTTATTAGTTTTTATATTTACTCTAATTAGATATTTTTAATATTGGTCATGTCACAGGTGCCCCCCCCACAACATTTTCTGACTTTCAGTTGATGGACATAATTTGCTGAGGAACGCAAAACAATCATGCTGGTATTATTTTTCAGTTCTTTCCCATTAGCTGTAATGCCTAAAAAATCCTTTGTCTTGAAAAGCACTGAAAAGTCATTAAATGTTTCCTCCAATTTGCACTTTGCCAACTTCAGTTGAGAAAAAAATAATATGTATACAAAAGATTAAAATTATTTAATTTTCATCAATAAGCTGAATTTCTAAGCACAGCTTATCTTTAGTAAGAATTTGAAATCAAATTATATTCTTATAATTTTATTAACACTGCCAGAATGATCCCGGAAATAACATGCAAGTATAAAAAAGAAAGAGAAAAAAAATTATGAATTTTTTAAAAAAATCAATCCAGCAATTACAAGAATTTTTTTTTATATATTTTAAAGTTGCTCATTTAGTCCTGCAAATTTTTAACAACGATAAAAAAAATAAAATAACTTCATTTTTCCCTGGAATAAATTCTAAGAGATGATAGATGATTTTTCTGTATTTGAGTTAATAATGAAGAGCATTAAAAATATATCATTTATAATTCAACCAATCAGAAAATTGGGCGTAGCTAGAGGGGGGCAAGGGGGGCATCTGTCCCCGGGCGCAGATCCAAGGGGCGCCAAACTGATGGTACAACATTTTAGAATTAAACGTTTTCCATCCTTGGCAAGCAGTAGGGGGCACGAAATTTTCAGTTGTACCTGGGCGCTGAAAACCCTAGCTACGACTCTGCAGAAAATGTAAAACTTATAAATTAGATTTAATATAAACAATATCAAATTTATTAAAAATAAAAAAGTTAAAAATATTAAGAAGTCCATATATACATATAATGCACAGATGCAAAAAAAAATTTTTCCCTTCTTCAAGATATGACAATGACATTTTGCAGCTTTGGAAAAAAGCTTTTCTCACAGGCAGTGATATCTGGCATTTTCTTAAGAAAGCACTTAGTGTTGTCAGTAAGAGAAAAATACCTTTTTTTTTATGAATAATCTGAATATGATCTCACAAAAAATGAATTTAATTTCTCGCAAAAAACAAGATCCCTAATAAATAAAACTAAAATTAACTGACTTAATAGTATTAAGTTAGGTAATAATTTTTAATTTCAGTGTTATAAATAGTAATTAAACAAAATTATAAATCAACAGTTTAAATTACTATTGGAATTTATTTATCAATAATTTAAATTATTAGGTTTATTTATTATTTTCTACTTTTATTAATTTCATTGAAGTTATGTATTGATGTTTATTATTCAAAATTAAAGGCACTATTTCAAAACTAAAGCTTTTTCTCATTTATTTTACTGTTTGTAGTTTCATTGTACATCTAAATTCCATGATCTGTGAGGGAAATTCATGAACTTGTGAAAAGAAGCCTTGATTTCATAATAATAATCATGTTATTGGAGCTTTTTACCCAAAATCAAAGACCCAGTTCCAAACAGCTCTTTAAATTAATTTTTCAGTGTGGACTTTTCTCAATTTACAGTCTAAAAAGGGGGAAAAGAATTACATTCATTAAACCAGTTTCTAATTAAACTAATCACAATAATCAATAAAGTGAAAATGTCTTTAATTGAACATAATTATCATTTATTTTGTTTAATTTCACCATCTGAGATATAAATATTTAAAAATTATTATTTTTAACACTGAATATTTTAATGCTAATGAAGTGGCAACAAAATAATTTGACAAAATATGTAGACACTTTTATTTAGCTTTTTGACAAATCTAATTACTAAAATTACAAATTATGAATTACCTGCTCTGAAACGTATGGCAAATCCTCTTCGGCTGTCTCCAAAACTAGAATGAAAATACATGTATACACGATTTGTTGTAGAAAGAAGAAATTTTGGATTATCTTCAACACCACCACTCATTTTGGCAAGCAAAGGATCCGACGGGCTAGGACCATCTCGTATGTGAATAAAATCTTTATTAGGCTCCAAATCAATATCTATCACCTTAAAAATATTAATATATTTATAAATCATTACAGCAAAATCAGTATGAACATAGAAAAACAAAAATATTTGAAAAGGGATTAAATCATTAACGCACAGACTGAAATCTATATGTAAACAGAAAACTTCATTTGATGGAATGAAATGAATGGAAGAAATGAAATGTAAGAATGGATGAATGGAATGGAAGAAAATTTTCACAAGAACTAGCTTTTCAAAAAAATTTAAATCAATTTGCCTCTTTAAACCCTCCAGACCTTCTGCATTCGAAATCAACAGCAAACTAAATTTGAATGAACTGAGAAAAAAGGTAGATTGTTGATGGGTCTTAATAATATTACTGAATAAGACTCCAACTACAGACTTAGCTCTTGAAACCTTGCATAGCAACTACACATAGCAGACTGAAAAATAGAATGTAAGAAAAGCATCAGTACTCTAAAATATTAAATAGTTACAGGCATTGGTGATATCCTACCCACTATTATGACACTAAAAGAGTGATCTAAGGTTACATAATTATTAAGAACTTGACAATATTATACTCTCATTATTATAAAAATTTGTGCACCAAGAAATAATTGTGGGATCTTTACGAAACTTGGCATGAAAGTAGATGTTGCGTAGATATGCAAATGATTAGAAATACAGCATGATTGCGCATTGCATAATGCCACTAGAGGGCACTGAACTTCGTTCTTTTTGGAGTAAAAATTAGGTAAGCAGAGCTTGTTTGAGTGTACTTAATCTTTTGCTAAGGAAACACTGAGGTAGATATGCCGTTACGGCACCATCAAAGTCAATATCAGCAGCTGTCAGAGTTTGAGAGGGAAATAATCATCGAGATGATGGAAACTGGATGGTCAGCTGGGCGAGTAGCTCGTCAGGCAGGCTATTCTGATTTTACTGTGAGGATGTGTTGGAACCAGTAGACGGAAAAGGCGTCATTTACATGGCAACCAGGCTCAGGATGCCCTTGACAGACCAGTCATCGAGAAGACCGTCACATCACATGACACAGACACGTAGAGCCAACTGCCTCATTGTCTACTATTCAGAAATAGGCAGCAGCTTCATTATGGGCCCGTGTCTTCTCAAACCATCGCCAGGTGCCTGGTTGAAGGACATCTGGTACCGCGCGGCTCCATTATATGTGCTGCCAATGACACCCACCCACCGATCGACACCTCCATTTGGAGTAGTGTCGCGCATGACAGGATTGGAATTTAACATAATGGAACCAAGTCGTCTTCAGCGACAAATCTAGATTAAATCTGACCTGTGATGACAATCATGTTAGTAAGCGGAGGCCTCAGGTGAATGCCTCAATCCTGCCTTTGCTTTACAGTGACACACCATTCCCACAGTTGGTGTGATGGTATGGGTTGCCATTGCTTACGATACACAGTCACCCCTAATATTGATCCATGGCTCAATGACAGGCCAGCAGTATGTTCATGACATCCATCAGCCCACATGTGTTGTCACTCGTGGCAGTGCTCCCAGGAGCCTGTTTTCAACAAGACTATGCTCGGCCACATACAGCACGGATCTCACATGACCGTCTCCGCAACATTAACACCCTTACCTGGCCTGCTCGATCCCTAGATTTGTCACCAATTGAGCATATCTGGGATCATTTGGAATGGCAAGTTGGACAGCCTACGAGATTGGTTGAACTAGAGGCGTGTTCCCAGCAACTGTGGAACGAGATGTCTCAGGACACCATATGGAACTTGTATGCCTCAATGCCCGCTTGTATCGCATTGTGCATTCACACTAGAGATGGTCCAACAGAGTACTAAAACTTCCATTCATGCATACTTTTTTCTGCAATAAATGATCCTTTTTTATTTGATTTTCTAATCACTTACTTATATCAAAGTAGTACTTACAGATGCTAAATTTTGTTTCATTCCGACAACTCTTTCTTGGTGTGCAGATTTTTATGGCAATGAGTGTATATTCTCAATTAACTTTATAAAATAAAAAATAATGGCTTTCAAAGGAGAAATAATAAAGTAAATGATCCCAGCATGTCACCAATCTTTCATCCCTTCAGATAAACAGTTATACCAACATAATGTGCTTCAAAAAACAGCTTCCATATTTTTGCTTTTCATTTGAACATCATATATCAGCCTACATGCCAGCTGCAATTAAGTAAAAGAATAGTTTGGCTGGAAAGAAACAGTCCATATATATGTATATATATGTGTGTGTGTGTGTAAGATATAATAAAATACGATAGCTGTAAAAATAATTGGCGACCTCAAAATTAACATTCTAGATTTGGTGATCTCCCCCTAAATTCATCCATTCTCCCAAATTTGAGAATCTTCTATGTTATGTAACAACCTCAAATTAATCACAGATTAGCTCTACTTATACCTTGGAATAAATACTACTGGCAAGTTCATTGCGTCATTCTTCGCTTCCCTAACTGCTGCTCCGTCATGCTCGCACCGCTTTGCTTCTCAAATGACTATGTCTTAGGATTAAAAAAAAAAAAAACAAAGTGCTAAAAAATTTATCATATTTAATTATGATGGAATAAATGTCTGCCAAATTAATTTAACAAAGATTGGTGATTTTAAGAAATTCAAGTCATTATCTTCATCCGTATGCCTTACCCACAGCCATGATGGATATTGAAACCTCCATCATGAGTGCCAGGCTTCGACTGCACAATGGCACACACACACACACACACACACACACACCCATATATATATACATACACACACACACATGTATATATATAAAACATGTAGGTGAATCCGTTTCCCCTTAACACCCTCATTTGTTTTGATTTTATCAAATAATATCATTCCAGAATATTTTTAAGAAGTCTTAAAATACGTACAAAAAAGAAATTATAACTAGGCATTCAAACTAATTTCTTTGATTGCCAAATTCAGTTTCAAATACATTCATATCATTCTTAGTCACAGAAACAAAATTTCACTTTTTGTTTTCACAATCTTTTAATTTTCTTTAATGGTTGTGTAGAGTTTCAATGAGAAGTGCAACTAAGAGAGATTCCTAGTTTACATTGGCAATTAGCATCATTACACATCATCATGAATGGAATAGTGACCAAAATTACAGCAAAAGATCATTTTTAATTTTCATAGCTAGATGCTTGATAGTTCCTTCTACTGGTAATAACAAAAAATCCAATATCACTGAAGGAGGTAGTCATATCTTATTAGAATAGTCTATGTCTTGTCTAATTCTGCTTAGGTTCTGAGGTCATCAGATTTGTCATAAAACATACATCAGGAATACCTTAGAATAAAGTGGTATTTTAACAGTGGTTATTAGGCCATTTGTCATCAAATATGAATGCTTCTCGTAACTTAAAAAAAGAAAGCAAGATGCACACGGTATATATTTCTCAGAATACTATTCAGCACTTGCTTAGTTGTCTTCTATAGAGATCACATCAAATATAATTCTATTCTCAATTTAAAAAAATTACTACAAATACTTAATCTAATCTCTGATGATATGTTGTCAGTTGACACAAACAGTATTACTCTCGAAAGTTGCAATTTCATTGATAGCACACGAATGTTATGATATGGTACACAATTTCAGTGATAAGATATTACAATTAGGTACCTCAAGTGTCAGGATTTTCCCTGCTGGTGCGGTTAACACATACAAACACTCGAGCCCACCAGGGTATGGTTGTGGATATGTGGCTGAAGTAAGAACTTGAGCAGATGGTAGGGCAAAAAGCTCACCTCCACATCTAACAGGTTCTGCAATAAAACACATTTTTGCATGACATTTTAGGCAATAATATTAATTTAGCAAATGCAAAATTCCAGTGGTGTAAATTTACAATAAATCCTACAGTGTGAATTTTTGCTATTTAGAAAAGACTATATTTTAGGGTAACCCTTGGATTATTGCCAAGTTATTGTTTCATTTATGATAACCTGAGTAGCTGAATGTTATAAAAGCAATACAGTACAAAGTCTGTAATTCGGACGTCCATTATCCGGAATGATCTGTAATCCGGACCTCAAAGCCACAAACTTTTTTTTTTGTAATGCGTTTACGCATGCGCGTTTAATGTTTACGCATACGTGTTTAGCACAAAAAGTGAAGCAACTTACATTGAAAGAAATGTTTAATAGAGTAAACAAATAAACATTAAGCTTTTTTTTTTTTGTAAATTTTGATATCTTTTAGATCATAATTGCTCTTTATTTCATAAATTACGGTTTCATATTTTTAATTGTGTAATTTCTGCATGCCATCTTACCAGACTTAAATTGATGATCTATGATCTGGAAAAACCCTTAATCCGGAATCGTCGAAGTCCCGACGAATCTGTATTACGGACTTTGTACTGTATTACGATGGGATTGGTTGTAAAGTGTGATTGAAGTGAATTTGACTGATGGGAAAATATCTGTAAGGACATATTTATGTACTGGATGTTGGTTAGGAAGTACGTTGCTTATTTTGTGCTTTACACCATAAAATGCCTGCAAGCAGTACAATTAACCTGAAGTTTTTGTACACTTTAGAATGATTGAGAAAGAAAACATTGATTGACTGGTGTGTAAAATGAAGGTTTAAATGGCTCCATTCACCCCTCAGTAAATTACGAAGTGAGATTTAAGGATTTGGAAATTCGGAGCTCATATCAATACTATGGACGGTATGTGAGGTGTAATAAAAAGAGATTTTCAAAATATATGCCATCGACAATACGAAGAATATTTTTCATTTTTACTTTTGTGAATTTATATGGTGACGGCAGTATACAGATTTTAGTTTAGATAATTTTAAATAGTTTTTGGGTACTGTTAAGGAATTCTGTGTGTCTCATATACTGAAGAAACAGAAATTTAAGGTAAGTCGATATTTCTTTTTTGTATTGTGTAGATTACATGACATGTATTTCCATTCTTAAGTTATTTCTTTGTTTAATTTAAAATGCAGTTTATGGAGACAATATATTTTTTGTTTTAGTTATGTTTCATTACATTATGTTTCGGAGGCCATTTTACTCAGGAGGGCACTGGACGTAAACAGGAATGGCGCCAAAAAATCAACAATTTTCACCAAGGGATACCCTGAAATATATTTTACCAAGACAATATTTACTGCTAATAACATTTACTGAAATAAAATAATTTAAAAATATTAAAAAAGATTACTTTCAAGTTTACTTATCTATTTTTTTATTTATTTTTTAATTTGGTTGTTAAAGTTTTACCTGTCTTCCAACTGGCTCTAAAACCTTTCTTTTCTACTGAGGCATCTGTGCGAAATTTGATAATCATAAGATTGGAAGCTGTTGTGTAAGTCATAGATGATACATCTTTATTGCCCGACAATGTAACTAAAGACACACTCTTCTCTTCGGTGCGTCCACCAACTTGGATTTGAACAGTGTCGAAACTGGATTCAGTGTCAAAATCGGAAAACTGTAAAATATCATGTGCTTCAATTTCATTTAACTCAAAATTTTACACTTGCATATAAAAAGAGACAAAGAATAAAAAGGTTTAAATAATTATTAAGTACATAATAACAAAATTTACAACAAAAACATAATGAAAGCAATTATTATCTAATCTCTTAAAACATATTTAGAATACACAAAATAACTAGTATTTCACAAAAGTTGGATTTCATTTTCATAGGGATCATCACAGCAAATCATCACTGAAGCCAAAGATTTATTGTTTTGAATAATAATATCCCCCATATCTGTAATGTTAATAAAATAGGCCATAAACAATTTTTTGTATTCAAAGTGCTATATCTTATTTCTTCATCATATTTTAACAAAATGTACTACCACTCTTAAGGCTTCAAAATATGTTAGCTCAAAATTTATTATTACTCTCTGTATCTTCTTGTTTTGCCAGTGACCAAAGTCACAGAACATTGGTTGTTTATATCAAATTCAGCTACAGCAGTTTAGAAAGCAGACTGCATAAAGTACCCATAGCTGTCCTTTCACATAAAGTAAATATGTACTAATTTCCCTTAGAAAGTCTATAGTAAAAGCTCTCATCCCTTTGCCTGTCTAGTTCAACTTCTTTTTTTTTTTTTTTTTTTTTTTTTTTTTTTTTTAATGATATAACTATGCAGAAATGTAAGCACTACATGGTTATTCAACTCAAATTGCTTTATCAATTACAAGAGAGTTAAATTACATATTACCATATCACTAATGTCTCTACTTATATTTTTCTCTTTAAATCTGCAATGAGAGTTTACGGTGCACTTGTTTCAAATAAAACCAATTTAAGTACTTAAATAAATTATTTACATTAGAATATAAAAAATTCTGAAATATGAATTTTCAATTAATGTCCCAAATCAAAATTTTATGGAATAGTAATATGCCATAAAATTTGTAATGGGAAAAATCATAATTTGTGATGGCCACCTGAGCCCTGAATAATTTGAATATCAATCCAGAACAATTTCCATAATAAAATTCACTCAGGCTTCAGAATTTTCCCCAGATTTATACAAAACAGAAATTTTAAAACTAGCATTTCATTGAACAGAATTTTTCAACAAGTAAAATATATACAAAATTAATTTTAATTTAGTTTTTAAAAAAATTTAATTTTAAAAAGTCAAAAAATTAATATTACAAAAAGTAGCATATACCTGAAGAACAATACCAGTACCAATTGGTCCTTCTAACGTCCATTTACAATTTGAATTGGCAAAATAACGATTTGGATAATTGGGGGATTGAATTGCATCCCCAGAACTTTGCAGATGAAAGTGGCAAGAAGCTAAAAATAAAATTAACAATAAATTAAACATATACTGACAAATAAATAAATAAAAACAGCTAAAGACGACAGGAATTCCAAAGAATGTTTGAGAAAAATGTATTCAACGCCCACTTTACACATTATAGATTAGTATATTATGTGCTTGCACAAAAACACTTGATGCAAACAGCTTTGAATCATGACATTTAGGTTTGTACATAATTTAAAAATATTTATAAAACATCAGCTTATAGATCATTCATAAAAAATTCATAACTATTTACATGAATCAAATGATGATTCAACAACAGAAACACTAAGCTGGAGGTTTTCAGTCTTTACTGCTCCATTGTTAATCTATCTTCATTGTACATCAGAATGTCATCTTTTCCCTTTTTTTTAAAATTGATTTAAGGTGTGTATTCTCAATAATAAATAGAAATAAATTTTTATTTTAGTCAGCTATAAATGTATGCATAAATTTACAGTTTTTAATATTGAATAAAAAAATATTATTCATATGCTTATATAATTGCATTTGATAAATAACACTAAGGAAGCATTTCAGTGCACTTATACAATGTCTAAACTTTATTTAGCCCTTTTGGAGCCCATTATTTTAATCATATATTAGCTGTCCGTTCCATGAATTTTTGTTGCAGTATGAGTTTACATTCTGAAACTAAACAATTCCCTCCCTGAGGAATATATATATAGTAATAATTCTCCCATAAACAATTCCTTTGCTGAGGAATGTATAATAATTATTCCACTGGGAATACAGGAATTCTCTAGCAGCTTAGAACTTCTGCATTCAGTTATAATTTTGATATGCTTATAAAATTTTGCAATAAATTAAACTCAAGTAAAAGCACCTATTTGTTATTATCAATTTGCTATTACAGTTTCATTTTACACTATATTTATATAATTTCATATTTTGTACAAATAAAATTAATTTTATTTCTTGTTACACATAGAGATGTGATATAAAACGACACCCTGAAAACAATTACTTTGTTTAGACTATTCATAAATTTAAATTATTTATAATAGAAAAAGCACTGAAAAACTTCTGGTTCCAGAACTTTGCTTTGTTAAAAATAACCAAAATTTTACTAACAGAATAATTTATAACAACAAAGAATACTGTAAAAGATATTTTTAGTAAACTTTAGATTTCATTTAATAAATATTTATCAAAATAAGTGTAAACGGTAATAATTATATTGCAAAGGGAAAAAATTCTAATTTATATTTATTTTCTACTTGAAATCTAATAGTACCTGTAAGAAATTTTTGTTGACACTCTGTAATTCAAACATATTGGCATTTCTTAAACTAACATTACCTTCAAATAATTCCACAATGTCAAATTAATCATTATACATATTACTTTAATTTGACGTAAAAATAAATAAATTACAAAAGCCTTCCAAGTTTTCATGATTTGAGAATAAATAATGAGAACCTAGTTTCTATTTTTTTATTCATTAAATTTTTCTGCAATCTATAAATAAAAATACTATGTTTGAATCTAAATAATTATAAACATCTTTATTTCTTATTATAGCTTAATAAAGTTTGTGTTCTTGGAAAGAAATTACTAGAAATTATTTTTATCACAGATTGTTGATTCTCATTGGAGCATAAAAATTCAGAACTTACTTATTTATTGAAAAGTATGAATAAAAGTAATTAAATCTGTAGCTGCAAATAACATTTATTGTAAATTGTAAGCTATAAATTGACTAGCTCCATTTATAGATTTCCTGGAGCATTATTAATGTTCATTTTCGATGCAAATGAAAATAATATAAAAGTGGACTTATAACAGTAAAATCGTATTTGCAACAAATACATAATTGAAATATCACAGCGAGCCACATAAAATTACTTTTCAGACTGCATGTGGCTTGTGGGCTGCCAGTTTGAGATCATCAGCGTAAAAAGTTAATTTCTATCTTATAATTTAAAGTATATAAATAGAAATTTGGATAATTATTAAATTAGTGAAATGAAAAGAATTCAATAGTACCTGCTTTCAAAAATGGCAGCTTACATAAAATTTAAGAAAATGAGTATGTCGAGTCACAAAATCAAATCATTTGTATGATGTAAATAGTTAAAAAATTACTATAAAATATTAATATGATTATAATATTAACTACTCATAACATGAAAAATGTATTATGTGGAAAATTTAATTTTAAATTAATATCAAGAAATAGATGCTTAAGGGAAAATAGATTTTACAGAGAAATAAAAGAGCATATTTACTTTTTTTCGGGGGGGTGATGTATATCATAAAAATAGCATATCATAAAAGTAAAGTATAAAATATTTATGTGTTTTTTTACATATCACATAAGTATGAAAATTAACTGTTATCAGGACAGGATTCAGAAATGTGCGAATGTATGTACATGCATGCGAATGTATGTACATGCATGCGAATGTATGTACATGCATATATGTATGCATGAATGTGCATATATACATTTCTGAATACATTCATACATTCTGAACATATACATACATTTTGATAACAGAACCGTACCTGTAAAAACTTTCAACTGTTTCTTAACAACTGAAAATCTTTCTAATAATTATTATAAATCTATCTGAAGTTTACTTAATTAAATATTTTACTACTTACAAGAAACTAATAATTTTTAGAGTCTAAAGATTTTCACAGTAAATTCAATGAAAAGAATTCAATAGTATCTCCTTTCAAAAATGGTAACTTATATAAAGCTTAAGAAAATGAGTATTTCGAGTCACAAAATCAAAACATTTGTATGATGTAAATAGTTAAAAAATTACTATAAAATACTTATATGATTAAAATATTAACTACTCATAAACATGAAAAATATATTATGTGGGAAATTTCATTTTAAATTAATATCTAGAAATAGATGCTTAAGGAAAAATAGATTTTACAGAGAAATAAAATAGCATATTTACTTTTTTACGGGGTGTGTATATCATAAAAATAACATATTATATAAGTGAAGTATAAAATATATGTTTTTTCCCCTCCCCCCATATCACATTAGTATAAAAATTAACTGTTATCAAGACCAGATTCAGAAATGTGTGAATGTATGCACATGTGCATGTATGTACACACAATATATGTATGCATGTATGCACATACATACATTTCTGAACATGTACATACATTTCTGAATACATTCATACATTCTGAACATGTACATACATTTCTGAATACATTCATACATTCTGAACATATACATACATTTTGGTAACAGAACAGTACCTGTAAAATCTTTCAAAAGTTTCTTAACACCTGAAAATCTTTCTAATAATTATTCAAAATCTATCTGAAGTTTATTTAATTAAATATTTTACTACTTACAAGAAACTAATAATTTTTAGAATCTAAAGATTTTTCACAATAAGATTTCACAAACAAAACAAAATACATTTAACTTTTTCAATTAATATCATAATAACTGAAACAGATTAAAGGCAACATCGTAAATTACTCTTCCTATATAAGAAACTGAAATTGATAGAAGGACATTTAATTCACTCAATAGTTCAATATTTTTTATTACTAAACTAGATTTCCAAAGAGAAAATGGACATTTCTAAGCAGTACTGAAGTTTAAAATCAGATGTTACTATACCTGGACAATCCATTTCATCTGACTGATCACCACAATCATCTTCACCATCACACAAGAACTTTTTACTGATGCAGTGGCCATTGTTGCAATGGAAGGAATCTAATTAAATTTTTAAAAAGGAAATTTATTAGTCAAGTCATGCAATCAATCTTAAAACAATAGCATAAGATCTTACTCTCAATCTATTCTAATATAAGGCCATATCCTCCCCCTCCAAAATGATGCTTTTTCTGGTATAAAACTCCACATATATTACAATTTCAAATAACAAAATAAAATATAAATTAAAAAGAATCCAGGAACATATATCTAAATACTATAAGCTTATAAGGTGTTTTCTCCCTCCTTCTAGCGTGCCTTCGTGGTGTAACGGTTAGCACACGAGGTTCGTATTCGAGAGATCCAGGGTTCGAATCCCAGTGAGGCCATTGCTAATTTTTCTGTTTCCTGCTTGAAAACAAAATAGCCTAATGACTCTACAGTACTTCCGAACTGAAAGGTGGTGGATAATGATTCTTCACCACCAGGATTTGGCAACTGGCTCCATTAATCCCCAGTCGCCTTTTAAAAAGGAGGAGGACATAAGGTATTTTCTACCTCCTTCTAGCATGACCTGGTGGCAAGTTTGCTTTCAGGAAGGAAAGTGCGAAGCCAAGTAAATAAGCATTCACAAAAAAAGGACATAATAACAATTACGAGATTCATCTAAAATTACAAAACTTTAAACAATTAACTGAGGTTTTAAGATGGCTATAGGGCACCTTTTAATATTATTTGCATCAATAGTTATAACTGTAAATATCTGTCATCATATTATTAATTAGTCTCTGGCCTATTGTGAAAGCTTTTGGTCAAATAACAATAGTATGTCCTTAACTGGACTAATTTAAATTCCTTGTGAATGACATTATTTCTAATGTAGCATGGTGAACTGGTCTTCTATTGCAGTACACAATTTTGGACAGTTTGCAAATGCTTTCCTTTGGTTCTGAAGGAAAATGCCCAGACTGGGCAAGCATAACACAGAATGGGATGTAGAATGGCTTTATAAAAGAGTAACCTATTACCAATAGATGGAACACTGTTTCGAGCAATTAAGGGGGTACAGTTTAGCTTTATGCACTAAAAATTTTTGGATAATAGATATAATGTATGTGATAGAATTAAAGAGGAACATCTAGAAATATGTGGTATGGTTAGCCTTGGTCCAAGTAGTTTCGCAAAATTGAAAATTTTTATTCACTTTCTTCTAGGTGAATAGGATTGCAACTGCTTTACCAATATTCACTTGTATTTTCCATTTTTAAAGCCAGGGCTCCAATGTCTGTGTATGATTTTATAAATGTTGAATGGCTGGATTAATTAAATATGCTTTAAGCAAGGATCACTGTATCATCAGAATACACTGCTGATGTAGTGTTGGATATACATGGAATGTTTTTCACATAAATATTGAAAATGAGGAGCCCCAGAAGTGACCTCTGCGGTACACCAACTCAGATAGCTTGGCAAGATGAATGTGCACCTGAGATGTGAATGACAAAGTGTCTATCTGTCAAGTAGGATTTAACTATGTTTGAGAGGTAATCTGAGAAGACCATATTGTATATTTTGTAGTTCTGTTTTTATCAGCAGACATTAGAAGCCTATAGTTTAGTAGTAGAAATACTACAGTATAAAGCTATAGTATTTTTTTAATCAATCCAGATTATACAAGTTTTTGCTTATTTGAGTCAGCTCTAGTCCACATAAACTGAAATAATCAGGGCTCTGCTGTATTTTTATTTACACTTTTATGATAATTAAGTTCAACAGATGATTTACCTTTAAGAGGGAAATGAGTAAAACGAGGCTTAAAAAGCAAACAAAACACTTTCAAAAGGAAGAGGGAAAATGAGCAATAAGTTTTTAAAAAAAATTATACATGTTCTTGTTTTATGATTTTATCCACTTCATCAATAAACAAGGTCACATATACAAAAAAGCAACTGTGGTATACAAGATATTCAAGTAAAATTAAAAAAGTCAGATGGGAAATGAAACTAAAATAAAATTTCAGATGAAAAACGTTTTATAATATGAAACTAAATAAGTATAATGTGGGTATAATGCAAAATATATACCTCTATGGCATGACTTAATATGACATATAAATGGTAAAAGAGTTTCACATGGAGCCAGCTCCCAAACTTGTGACTCTCCCTTGATTTTGGCACGTACACATTCTCCTTTCTGAGGCTGTGGTTGGTCATGATCCCAAAAGCCAGTATATTTTGATATGAAAGTTCCACTTGAGGATTCTAAAGTGTTTGTGGAAAGTCCATCCACAGATGTTAAACCTATACAGAAGTAATATATAACAAAATATTAAAACCACTATAGGATTTGCATATTCAGATTAATGTATACACATATATATATTTAAAAAGCTAGCAATAATGTGTTTAATCTTTCATTATAATTATTTAAAGAAAGAACAAATAATCAGCTGAATACTTTATAAATTTATTTTTTATTTAATTTATATATACACAATGGAAGGGATCACTTTTAAGGTAAACAGACCAATTTTCTTGTGTCACCACCATAAGATTCTTGGCAAAAATAGTAGGTAGTGTTAAACAGATTTATAATGAGGTTGAGAAACTGTTTAAATCTGGCAGCAAATTTGAAGTTTATTTCTTTTATGTGGTTCTTTAGTGCCACTGGCAAAGAATCTGAATTTTAATGAGGACTTGTGAAATTTAGGGAGTGCAGAGAGGTTAGAAAACTGGTGTTTGTCTGTTGAAATGGAAATTTTTAGTCTGCAGTGAAATATTCTTATTTTGTTATTGATGACAGTTATATTAGAATTGGTCTTTTTTATAAGTAATAATATCCTTAAATTCTTTTTCAATTATATGGTAATAAAAGAATTTTAAAATAATAGTGAAGTTATTGCTGGCTTTGTCTATTTCAGTGATGATGAATTTTTGATTCAGTAGATTAATTTTACTAGAAATTTCCTTTCTGTTGTGATGATATTATAGTTTGCTAGTATGTAAAATGTTATGCTTGAAGTTGTTAACAATGAATGCGTTCAAATTATTTTTGAAGAAAATTTTTTAAATATTTTTGAAGTGCTTATGCAAAATTGTTTTCTAACTTTGAAAACTGGTCTAAACATTTTTCTAATTGCATTAATTGTGTTTAAGCTGGGTTTTTTTACTATTGATTGATTAACAATAGTAATATAGATAATAAGAAATAATAATACAAATAATAAGAAATTTAATTAATATAGATAATAAGAAATAATAATACATATAATAAGAAATTTAATATAATATAGATAATAAGGATAATATAGATATATAATAACATAGATAATAAGACATTTGGTAAAATCCTAGTATACGGTACAGCCTTGGCACGATTTTAAAAATTATCGCCAACACCAAAATTACCCGTATATGTCCCGTTTACTGCTCATTATAAAGTCGCCAAATCCCTCATGCACCGGATACTAGGATTAAACCGAGACATTTAATATAAATAATAAGATATATATAGATAATAAGAAATTAAAGAGTGAAAGCAAATCTTATTCATTTTTATATACTGAACTACTATACCATCATTAACCTTTGCTGTACCTTCCATATGATATCAACATTTGGAAAAAAATCATTCCCTGTCTTTTTTAAATTAATTGTTTATTAGGAAGTCCAATATACATAGATTACAAAATTAACATTTTTGAGATAAAATAATTAATATCTGAAGGCAGCAAAACTGTAAACTATGATTAAAATAAATAATTTAATTCCCCCCCCCAAAAAAATAGGGTTGCTATTCAGTAACATTATAATACATTTAATGGAAATATCACTTTGATAAATGCAGAAAATGCCTATCAGAATCACAAACTGTCTTACCTAGTGTTTACCCAGGAAAGTACATAAATTATCAAGAGCTATATCATAAAGATCCATGACATATTCCTTACAGAATATGCCACAAATTGTTTGGAAAAAAAAATTATGAGATTTTAATTCTTTATAAATGCATGCAATAAAATTTCTTACCTATCCAATATGAAATTTCTCCTGTATCTCTCAGGCTTTTACTAGCAACTTTGCTGGTAAAATTATTTTGATTATAATCACCTATTAAAACTAGTTCACCTCCATACCTAAAATTATAATAAAAATAAAAAACACCGCATTCTAGTAATGAACATACAATATAAAAACACATTGCATAAGTAGCAGTTTAAAAATTTAGACTAGCTTTGGATATTTTGTTCAGCTCGAAAGTACGAATGCTTTCATTTTTAAGTGATAGATAAATCATGAAATTTTACAGATTTAGACCATCACATTTAGAAACAATATGAAAAAAAGATACAAGCAAACTAATTAGACCTATGATAATCACTTATTAAATCATACCAATAAAAATTATCTACGAGGTTCCAAAATAAGTTAGTTGCGTAATGCTTGTAATGAACAGAAAGAAGCGAATTTGTTTTCGAAATACGCCGCGCAGACTGTCCAGACAGACATATCCGCTGTTTCACATCCGCTTATTTCGCATCGATGTTTGGCCGCAAGGAACAAAATAAGCTTAGATGCAAAAGCAAGGCAAATAGAAAAACGACAATTTGATTTGAAAGAAAATTAATTTCGTAGCACTTAATGAGAAATACTTTAAGCCCTGATGAAAAAGTGGGTAAGAAGAATGTAACCTCTACAAACGATATGTAATCTTTTCGTTTCTACAACTTTATGTAGACTGTAATGGGCGACATGAAACCAACCCATCTATTACAAAAAACAAAAAAAAGGAAGGAAACAAAAAAAAAAAAAAAGAAAAGAAAAAAAAAAAAAAAAAAGAAATCTTTAGAATAATAATCTTTAAAAGTGCAATTTTGCATAGCACACGACAATTTAGTTTCAATAACATGGTTGCAGTTAAAAAAAATTCCAAGCAGCCGGTGTTTTTACAGCAAAGCAAAACGTCTAAAAATGTGCGAACAGCTTTTGTATTTACTGAGAATTTATTATAGACTTAATTCGATTGAAGGTATCGTTACATCCTGAAACATTTTTCAAAATATTCAAATTGGTACTTTAGATTCGATTCATGACTGAAAAAAATTCGTTAGATTGATATTCTTTAAAGATGATTATCATACATTTGCCAATGTTTTTCATACTGACAAACAAGGATAATTAGCTATTTACTTGATTACAATATCACACAACTATATCTTGATAAACAACTTGAAATATAACCCTTTGTTGCGTCACGATCAAACTCCAGGAGATGGAAGTTTCCCTGTTCGGAAGTGACAACAGATGTAAGAGAGCAAGAAGCTAAAACTTTTTTTTTTAATATACGAAAAAAAAAAGAAAAGGTGTTTTTCGTGCTGTACTTTTTATTATCATTATTATTATTATTTAAATATATGTTGTTGATGTTTCTTTCAGCGTTGTCGTCTATGATCAAAACTATCTACATTCATTTTCACAATCAATCCTAACAAGAACAGGAATAATTTATTGATAAATTTATAAGGTATTTTCTCCCTAATTCCAGCACGCCTTCCTGGTGTAATGGTAGCACACTCGGCGTGGATTCGAGATGCCCAGGTTCGAGTATTAATATAATTATAAATATTTTTCATGTCTCCTGCTTCAAAAATACTTAATTTCTCTACAAATTAATCGTCAGTTATTTGCATTAAATATTTTATATTGAAAAAATATATAATTAATAATTTTTAACTACTTACCTCCCACAAATTTCTGCAGCTTTTTTCCATGAGTGCCTAATATTGAATAACCTATAGCAATGTATGTCATCTTGCGTCCAACCTGAAAATAAAAGATAACAGTTATCAGAGAAGAAAACTACTAAGAGATTAAGAAGGATTAATGTAAATACAGCGTTCATGAATGTTTTTTACATTACTGAAGTTTGTTGGTTTATGATTAAACCCAAAAATAAAAATTATTGCCTAAGTAATTAAGTAAATGACTTTTAAAAATCAGATAATGTTAAGATCGTTGTTATACAATAAAACATTTCTGAATCACAGGTTTTGTTCAGATAACGGTTTTGGCGGCATAAACCTTTGGTTTAAGTAATAAAAGTTGCAAAACCATTCACATCAGTTTAGAAGAGGGTAAACCATAGCCAATTAAGGAAAAGAAAGCTGCACATGCGTAAATGTGTAGTTAACTTGCCAATAAAGTTGAAAAGTTAGAACGATTAGGCAAAATCCTTAAACAGGTTTTTTGATGTAGTAAGGTCTGGTTGCGTAGCAACGGAGATCGGCTTAGACCAGTGCTCCGCAACCGGTGTGCCGCGGCACACTGGTGTGCCATGAGTAGGATATAGGTGTGCTGCAATCAAATACATGTATTTGACATTTTGCAATTTTTTATCATGTATTTAATACACAATGACATTTTTTTTTCCTTAATAATGTCTATTTTAAATGTTTTTATATATTTCACTGTTGTGTGGTTGTGTGTGTGATTGTGTGTCAGCATTTGAATTTTTTCGGCACTTCCTTGATAACTCGGAACTCAAAAATATATAACTTTTTTTTAAACATAAATTTAAACGAAATATATTGCTTTCAGACCATTTTAATTTAAAAAAAAAAAAAAAATCTGAAATGTTTCAGATTTTAAATTACGTCCAAAGGGGCGTTTTTTAACATTTTGTGTGTTACCTTTCTTTATTAAATATCATGTTCCTCGCACTTAAACCATAAGATCCAGTGCAACAGCAATATCGCAAAATAGTTTTAAAACGAGCCTATCTTTAGAATTTCCGATACAGAGACTCACGCGCTGGAGATAAAAATGTTTTTTCTGCACAACGTTGCCATTGCTCGCTTTGAAATCCTCGACTTTGTTAATCAAAAATTCGTCAAAGTTTTAAAAAATAGGAAATCGATCATAAAACAAATTTCAAATTTCAAATTTGGTTTTCCACATGCTCATATTCGTTGGAGGATTACGTTATTCAAAATTCGATGACTCTATGTACTGTTGTTTTATCACAATACGAGAAATATACATACATTTATGCAGATTTTTCATTATTTAATTTCTTCAAATATAATGCAGGACTCTAATATTTTGTGGCAACAGTTTGAAAAGTGAACCGACATTTATGAGTCCGACGCAAAATGCCAAAACGAAACTAATAGTCCTTCGGGATTCAAATCCCTTTGGACTAATAATAGCTCTAAAAC